CCTGCACCAGGGGCTGAAATACAAGCACTCAGCTGCATTGGACCCTGCTGTCACCAAGGAGGGGACAAGTAGAGCTCACCTGTTGCAGCCTGATCCCAGGCTGCCTCTCCAGACCCTTCAGAGGATTTTGAGATGGAAGAGACTTTAAATTTCTTCTCATTCCAACCCCCTGCCATGGGCAGGGACTTCCCTCACTAGACCAGGTTGCTCCAAGCCCTGTCCAGCCTGGCCTTGGACACTTTCACGGTTGGGACTTTCCTGGGCATTCCAGCTTCCAGGGTTCCAACACCACCCTCACACTAAATAATTTCATCCTAATATCCAATCTAAACCTACTTTATTTCACTTTAAAGCCATTTCCCCTTGTCCATCACTCCATGCCCCTGTCAGACATCCCACACTTTGTGGTTTGTGACTGTCCCTTTCCATCTCACACCAGTTCTCCTCATTTACCTTATCCTGTGCTCAAAGAACACCCAAACACAGCTTTGATGGCCTGAACTCAGATTCATCAGCCCCAGGGGGCAGCAGGACTGCCCTGCAACACTAAATAACCCCACACCTTCCTCTGCAGCCACAGAAACATGGAATTGTTAAGGCTGGAAAAGATCATCAACAGCCCAACTCTTGACCCACCATTGCCATGTTCACCGCTAAACCTCATCCCCACATGCCACATCCACACATTTTTTGGACACTCCCAGGAGTGGTGACTCCACCACCTCCCTGGGCAGCCTGTTCAAAGCCTGACCACTTTCCCAGAGAATAACTTTTTCCTAATATCCAATATCTAAACCTCCACTGATGCATCTTGAGGTCGTTTCCTCTCATGCTGTCACTTGTTACCTGGGAGAAGAGACTGACTCCAACTTCACTCAAATGTCCTGTCAGGGCGTTGTAAAGACACAAGAAGTGATGCTGTCACCACCAGTAACAAACCTGGGCTCTGTCTCCCTGTTCCCATTGCCAAATGAAATCCCTGGGCAAGGCAGGTGAGGAATGAAACTCTGGTGAAGCGCAAGAACATGAACACACAACCATGGATGTATTTATCAACTCCTCCTCTGTCCCAGGAGGAGAAAGAGGGAGCAGGAGACCAGATCCTGCCTGGGTTTTCACTTCGTAAGCAGCCAATAATTACTCCAGATGAATACCCTTGGAGGAGAGCCAGAGAATCCCAAATCATTCTCTGATTTCAACTTTCAATTTACCCAGCCCGTGCTAAGCTCATTAATCACACTCGCAGCACCCAACACAACAGAAATTAGTCCCTGATCTTCTCCCCTCTTATTTCATGCCATGAGGAGTTGGGGGCAAGGGAAAGAGAAAAGAGATGCAGAGGTGCCACCCACAAATCTCAGAGTCACTCAAAGGGGCTGGGATTAATAAATCAAAAATCCATTGTTAATAGTACAAGCTTAAATATCCATCTAAATGCAAATGAATGAACACTCAAGGGTTCTTCCCCTTTTTTTTTATTTCCAAGTGCTCTGTTCGACAGCTCCATCTTTAGAGGAAGCACATGGTCACCAGATAATTGTCTGATTCTAATTGCAATTTTACAGTCCAACCCTTCACGGCCCATGGATTATAAGTGGCCTTTAAAGGATTTTGGCTTGCTCTGGATGGGATTGGAAGCTCAGGTGTCTGCAGGAACAGGCTGGAGCTCTTAAGGGAGGATTGCTCCAGGTTTCCAGCCTCTGTACCTGTTCAGTCACAGGAGGCAAGGGGTTAAATCCAGAGGCTGGGTCACTGGAATCAGGTGGAATTTGGGTCACCAAATTCTGCAGCCTCAGGTGGATGACTGTGAGTGTGGGGACCCATCTTTGGAGCAGGAACATGGAGAGTGGCACTAGAGGAATCTTGAGGGGTCTCAGCATCTTCTGAGAAAGCAACCTGATTCACAATTGTCTCCTGTATTCTATAATTTTACATCTTTGAATTCTAAATAGTCAAATGTTTGCAAAAATATTAAGGTATGGCTTAAAGGTTTGGTTATTGGGAGGTGGACTGGCTCAGTGGAATTAATAATGTGGAGGAGAGTCCATGTGTGTTCTGACAGAGAATGGCCCTCGTTGGGTTTTTGCTCTTTGTGATAAGTCTTATCTGGAGTATGTAGGAAGGAATAGGATAGATGGATGCACAGGTGAAGTAGAATGAGTGGGTGATGCTGGCAACTAGGTAGATTGAAGCATGGACCCTCAATAATACGCTGTGATACTTGATGTGAAGATGATAATTCAAGGCACAGTAAATGGGGATTTGCCATCAACAGGCTGGCTTGGGCTGCAGGGAATGCAGCAGGGGGGAGAAAGGGCAGGGAAATGAAGCTGTAATTTCATTAAATTGGTGAGGACTGGGAAATGGGATTTTACAAGATCACAGAACAGTTCAGCTTGGAAGGGACCTTCGAGAACATTAAATTCCAACCCCTCTGCCATGGACAGGGACACTTTCCCCTAGACCAGGTTACTCAAAGCCCCATCTAATCTGATTCTGAACACTTCCAGGGATGGGACATCCTTGGTTTCACCCATTTGCACAACCACCTATTGAGACTGATCAGTGGAAAACCTCCAGGCCACAGGGAGAGGAGGCAGGAAGGAGAAGATGGGAGCAAAGAGGGGAACCACAAAACAGTGGCTGAACCATGGGATTTCCTGGCACAGAGCCACCAATCAGGACCTCTACCACATACCAGGCAACAAGTCCAGGGTGCAAAAGTTCTTGTTCCAAGCAGAAAACAATCACCCAAAATTGTGATTCCAACTCCTCGACAGTTCCAGAGCGCTGTTCAAGTTCGAGGTGAGCAGTCAGGACTGGGGAGCAGGGTTTGCATAATTTGCCTTTCATTAGACTTTCCCAGGAGGCAGCAGAGGTACCAAATCAGCTTTAAAATGTTGTGCAAATCAGCTTTTAAATTATTGCACAAACAGCTTGGCAGCTCCCCTTGCCAGAGTTCCCCGGATCAGCTCTAAATTTTGGAACATTGTCCGAGCAAAAATCTGCTGACATCAGGATCTGGGGCTTTTCAGCTGCTCAAGATTGTAAATGTTGGTTGCAAACACTTGCAGGCGTGCACACACACCCCCTAAAATCCCAAAACATGGGGGAAATGGAGGCTTAGCAGCAGCATTTGCACAACCAATCTGCTGGTGGGTTGGAATCCATGCTTGAAAACTGAACCATGGCCTTGGTGACAAGAAATTTCCTGCTCAGCTCTTCGCTCCCATTCTTTGGTGCCATGAGGATGCAGGGATGAAAGACTGAAAGGAGTCCCAGCATCCTGCACTCCCAGAGGGACAACAGGCAGCCCAAGAAGCTGCTGAACCTTGGGAGGAAGAGTGTGGAGCAGCCAGAGCTCCCAGGGCAGGAATAACTGATCTAGGGGGGTGGAATGAGATGATCTTTAGGATCTCTTCCAACCCAAACCATTCTCTAGGATGAGGCAGAGCTGATGATGCTGAACTGGGCACTGCTTCATCTCCAGTTCAGAAAATCCATTCAAACCTCTCAGTCCATGCTCAGCACTGGGCAAACTTTCATCTGTGTCACACCAGGCACTTCCCAGTGCCAGCTCTGACAGATTCCTGTACCCACCCTGAATGGCATCCCTGTCCCTCAGCCACTCCCAAACTGGATTTTGCTCTTTTCATGCTCAGACTGCAGCTAATTAAATCCAGGGCTGAGCATGGCAGGGAAACATCTCCATGTTCCTGGACACAACCCTCTCTCTGCATTTGGAAAGCCAAAAGTAATAGGATTGAGTGCAGAGCAAAAGGGGCAGTGGTTCCAGCTTCTGCCTTTACTTGCCAAAAACTGGGTTGTTGTACAAGTACTTTAATTCTATTCCAGCATGGAGAAACAACAGATCTAGCAGATCAGGCCAGCTCCTGAATCAGCCCCCCAAGCCAATCCTATTTGCTGACCCACACACTCTCTGACACACATAAAATATTATAAAGCCCTCTTTTATTAATTTCTTAAAAGTCCACCTGCATCTCAACCATCTTCTAACACTGAAGCAATTTTCATTAGAAGCCAGAGGGATCAGTTCTGCCCTGGACTACAATACAGGTGTGATTCCACAATCAGGGAGAACCTCTGGGTTCTTCAGCTTTGCTTTGGATCCACTCAGAGATGCCAAATTAATCCCAGACCAACGGGAGCTGAGCTGAGTGTAAATATGTTGCCTGCCTCTGTGTGCATATGCTACTTAATGGAGCATAAAAGGACAAGAATGGAATCATTTTTCAGATGCTGCTGGTAATAATAATAAATAATAATAACAAATGCAGGGGCATGTGCCAAATGTCTGAGATCTCAAGGAGAGGAACTGACTGCAAGCAGAAGAGGAGCCAGGTAGGCGCTCAAACTGAGATGCAAAAGTCAGTGAAGTAAAACCGCCATTAAATCAAACACTTTGTATCCTTGTCAAGTTCACTCAGGATTTAAGACCTCACTTTCAGAGTGGTTTTTTCTTTTTCTTTCTAAGATGCACATTCTTTGACAACTGCTCCCCATATGGGATTTATGGTCCCAACTCTTTGTGGTAACTTGGGATTGGTTTTTTTTTTTCCCTGCTGGCCACAAGCATATCACTCAAACCCTCCTGAACAGCATCAGTCATCATTGGAATTCTGGCAAAAATAATTTTTCTATATCACAGCAGCACAATGTAAAGTTCATATCACCTGAATTTCACCTCCACAGGCCATATTTGCAACTGATTTTTTACTGCTTTCCTTATGGTGCATGATTTGGGGTGAGTCAAGCACTGCAGAGAGCCAAGCACAGCTGTGCTGAGCTTAATCTGAAAACTTCCACAGTCCTGGGTCCCAGTTCATGCATCCTTTATGTGGAAAAATCCAAAACAACACTAAACAACAGCTCAGAGAGAAGCAGTGCATGTGTGAAGGAAAAAAGCACTCCCCACCAGGGTAAAGAAAATACTGAACAGAGAGAGCAAGAACTGACACATCACTGCTAAAATTGTGATGATTTCACCCCCAAAAAAGCAAACAGACCTGTGAGAGTAAAGAAAAACCCACAGAACTCACCCATCATTTTCATCCCACAGGATGCAGGTCTGGTTGGTGGTTCCCTGCCAGGAGACAAGAAAGGGAAAATAGGAACAAATCAGTGTCATGCTGTTTGTGGAGTGTCTGCACTGGAATGAAGAGTGTGGGGCCTGTAAATCTCCTTCCACTGCCCTGAGGATGGGGTGTCTGGGATACACCACAGGAGCTGTCATGGATCTCAAACCCTTGGAATGGCTTTTGCCAGCCTGGGATTGAAAAGGCAGAATAAAACCTGCCTTGGTTTGTTCTGCATCATGAGCACTGCAGAGGGATTTGACTCTGCCTCTCTCCTGACTCAACCCACGGATATTCCTCCTTATCCCTCCTCTCACACAGAATCCTTTTGCTGCTCCCTTCTGGAAAGTGGATCAAATACAGCCTCTGCTTTTGTGGGACAAAAGCACAGCGCTGCAGGAGGGGGTCAGGTGTGTTTTAAGACCCCTGGAAAAGCTTTGCCTCTGACTACAACTGTCTGAGACAGCTTTTGAAAATCCCTCCAGGAGAGTCCAAAGACACAACAAATCTTAATATTCATGTTGTAGAGCCTCAGGAGGGCATCTGATCTCCACAAGGATGGACCTTGGGGTATGTAAATGTCCATCCCATAAATCTGCTTAGGGTTGAGCAGAGGAATCTGGAGAGAATTTTTGCCTGTCTTGGAAAGCATTGAGGACTACAGTAATATTACAGAATTAATGGGAACAACCTTTCCCTCCTCAAGGAAGACCATTGTTACATCAACTTATTTTAATGAGTGCACAGTTATTCCTGTGTGATGATGCCCACAATGAAATGGTGTGAGCTGGGGACAAGCATGGCCATGTTCCCTGTGCCAGCAGTGTCACCCTCCTGCTGCTCTGGAAATGAAGTTTGCTTTATTTTTATTTTGGGTAGGATTGAAGGGTCCTGCACCAGCAAAAAGATGTCAGGAGCCCATCAAAACCACCTCATCCTTGCAGCAACACATTCCTGCCTTGCAGGTGCAAACACAGCCATGGGATGGGGCAGGTTCCCAGGAACCACTTACGTTGTACAGGTGGGAGAATTCGATTTCCAGAGGGGTGAGGAGAGACCGAGGGAATGGCTTCACAGTCACAGAGATGACTTTGGAGTTCAGAACGGTGCTGTTCCTGGGGAGGAGAGGGGAAAAGAGAGCTTTTAGAGGGATTTTTGTGGAGCAAGGAATCCCATGGCAGCCATCACTGGTGGTGCAAGATTCAGAGTACACAGTGCAGAAGGGGTTGACCCCATTGCTATAAAACAACCCCAAAGACAATTGGTGCTCATGGACCCCATCCTCTGCCCTCTGGGCTCCCCTCACAGCCAATCCACATATATCCCTCCAAAATCAAACTCTTTTATGAACCTTATCTACTGGCCTTAGAGTCTGTACCTATCCCAGAAATAAAATACTCCTGGGCTCATTTTCTGTCCCTGCCATGAGGAAACAGAGCTCATTTGGACCACAGTGAGCCTTGTAGGTCCCATCCAACTCAGAATATTCCATGATTTCATGTGTTTTCCCCAAAAAAAAATCTTGTTTTGCCTCTCCAAGGCTGTCTTAGCCTGCACTGTAGTGAGGCTGAGGCATGGTTGCTTATCCATGGGGCTGGAGGCACTGGTGTGTATCTTCATTCCCTGAGGACCAAAAGCAAATGGAAGAAGGCCAAACCTTTCATGTAGATGTCTAAATGTCTGTGCCAGACAAATATTGTAATAAATCTGGCAGCCCTGGGAGATTCGGCTCTTGGGAGGGGCAACATGTGAGGAGGTACCTCCCCTTCCTGGAAAGCCAAATTTTTTGTAGGCACTTCCCTGGATGCTGAACATGTAAAATTACAGAAATTCCTCATTTTTCTGCAGGTTATTAGTGTTTAAATAAGCAAAAGGTCCCCACAAGCAGCAGCTGGAAGTGCTGCCATGAAGGAATTGGTAGTGGAAGATCCAGATCAGGATGCTCCCAGACACTGTGACATCCATGCACAAAGGAAATCCTTTCTTATCCAAATCTTCACCAAATCTGCAAGTACTGCAAAAATCTTTCACTTTTCTCTCTGGATTTTATCTTTGTTTTTTAAAAATAATTAGGTGGGAAAGATTGCACTTGCTTAACAGCAGCTGAAAAAAATAGGGTTTAAGGAAATAAAAAGAGGGAAAAAATATTTGGAATTGTCCATGGACGTGTAAGTGGATGCTCAAAAAGCTACTGTTCCACCAACACTAGAGGGAACAATAACATTGATTTAACAGGGAAAGAAAAAAAATCAAAAATATATCTTTTTCTTTAACAAAAAAAGGAAAAACTAAACGAGAAAAAGAAGAAAAAAAATAATGAAGTGAGAAAGCCCAACTATCACCCTGCAGAGCAAAAGTAAAGGAGTAAATCAATGGGAGCAGGCAGCTGTAAGAAGCTCAAAATGGGATCTGCTGAAAGGTAACCACCAGTGCATGTCTTCATTAGAGGCTGTGTCTGCAAGGGTCAATCCTCGGGTCAGTGCTGCTGAATATTTGCATGAGCAGCAGGGATGACACCAAAACCTCCTTGTGGAGGCTGAGGAGCAGGTAAGAATCGATGCAGCCAACAAAGACAGAAAGAGAATTTGATTTTTCAGCGTGGCAAGTTGTTGGGACACAGGAGTCACTGGTGTGCAGACCGTGAAGGGTGATCAGGGGCCAAGAAGCTGCAGCTGAACCAGAAGTTGAAGGAGGTTTATAAAAAAAAATGGAGAGCAAATTTTTACATGGGTAAATAATGCCAGCACAAGGGGGAATGGTTTTAAACTGCAAGAGATGAGGTTAGGATTAAATGTTGGGAAGAAATTCTTTGCTCAGAGGATGGTGAGGCCCTGGCACAGATTCCCAGAGAAGCTGTGGCTGCCCCATCCCTGGAAGTGTCCAAGGCCACTTTGGATGAGGCTTGGAGCAGCTTGGGATAGAGCAATGTGTCTCTGCCCATGGGGTTGGAATGGGATAATCTTGAAAATCCCTTCCACTTAGATGAAGCAAAGAACTTCTGTCTGTTCCCTCCTTGTCTGGATTCCACTGTGCTGTTGGGTTCAATTTCACTTTGAGAGGAGGAAACAGCAAAGGGAGTTCAAAACAGAGACATAAAATCAATCCAGGTGCAGGAAAACAAACAAAATTTCTCTGTTGGAAGGCTTGTCTGATAGTTCCTTGCATGTGGGAGGGCTTTTCAGTCACCCACCCGAAGGCCAAGTGCCTGGAAGTGAAAGCCAGACAAATTCAGCCTTAAAAAGAGAGGCAGGCTCCTGGCAGAGAAGGTAATTAAGCAGCTGAGCAGCTTGTCGGGGGTGGAGGAGGACTCAGTGTCACAGGGAATCTTTCAGGAGGAAGATGAGTCGCTTTTTCTACAAGCATGTTGCAGCCCAGCTTCTGGGAAGGAAATAAACATGGGGAGATCGGCTTGGGCAGGAATTCAGAGGAGCTCAGAGGGCTTCTGAGTGGCCACCAAGGGTGTGCAAAGGGCTGTGCACAGTGCTGGCTACACAGGGAGAGCCAGGCTGGTGGCTCTCTGCTGTCCCTGTCCTCTGCAGCAGAGTCCAGCTGGGACCAAGCCCTCTCTCACCTCCCTGGCTTGGAAAATCAGGTTTTGTGTGCAGCCCATCTCAATTGTCACAGCTGCCAGGATCTGCTGGGCTCTCTGGATCCAAAGGGACAGAGTAATGTGTGACTCAGAGATGGAATTGCTGCTTGGGGGGAGGTAAATTGGGACAATTAGGAACAGCTCAGCTGGTGCTGTTTGTTGAGTTAAATCTACTTTTGTTTTTCTTTTTTTTTCCATTGGAAGAATCACTCTGCATTGAATCAGAGTGGTCCAATCCAGGGTCTGTATTTCTTATGTGTACCCAGGAATATCTGCTCTCCTCAGTGGTCAGAAATATTTTTTACCCATGGAAAGCTACGTAGTTATTTAAAAACATTCTCCTTTTTAATGCTGTGTCCATTTGCACAGCGCTGAAGTAAGAGGTGTTTTACTGCTGCCGCTGCTTTCATTTATCTTTTTCTTCTTTTCCTTTGACCCTCCACAGGTGATTCAAGACTCGAGATTTTTTTAAAGAGGGACTGTCCTTTAATTAAGGAACATCTTAAATCACCTCTCCCCTGGGAACGCTGTTCGGAGGCTGTGGCTGCTGCAGCTGCTGGTTATCAGAGCTCATTCCCTGCTTGGCCAGAGGAAGCTGAAATACCACTGGATCATTTGAGCCAATGATGTTTATTGCCCTTCTGATCTAATTCCCACTGCTGTAATGGAAGATATTACAGAATACAGTTGGCTGACTTGCTAATTCCTCTCTGCACTCACTTGGAGCTCTTTTGCCATTGCCAGTGCTAAATCTGGAGGTATTTAAATGATTATCGGTGAGGAGAGATGCCCTGGTGTTTATGGTAAATGGGCTCACGCTAATCAGTGCAGAACAGATTTAGAAGGTGCCTTAGGATGCTTAATTTACTGCCTCAGTACCAGTCATTGGGGAGGAAAAAAAAAAAAAAAAAAAAACAGAAAAAGAGTGAGAGGAAAAGGAAGAGGAGCAAAGAAAAGGGAAGGGAGTGCTGAGCACAAAAGCTTTGGTGCCTGAGGCAGACATGTGCAGCCAGGCGTGCTCTGCTCCCCTCTCTCCTCCCTTGCCTGATTTCTCTGTGCTGCTGTGCTGCTCTCCAGGGCTCAGTGTGGCTGGCAGCTCCCCGGCAGCTCGGGGCAGCTGAGCATCCCCCATCTGTCAGGGCTGCCAAAATCCCCCGACCAGGAGGGCAGGGTGAGGTTTCATTCCTGCAGGGTGAAGGGTGGCAGGGAAAGGTGAGACAGCAGCACTGAACTTCCTCCCCTCATGTCTGGGGTGCTGGATGTGGATGGGGAAAACATTCCTGCACCTCCAGTACATGATGCATGAGCCTGGCCCCAGCTGAACATGGGGTCAAAATATTCCCAGTGCAGGTCAAAATCTGTCTTGATCTCTGCTTTTCCCTGGATAACAAGTGCTCTGCAGGCAGAGGGCTCATCCTGGTGATTCCCCAGCTGCTCCCCATGCCCAGGCAGCCCCTCTTACCTCTGCAGGGAGAGGATGTTGCCCACGTTCCGGTAGAGCACGGTCCCGACCACGAAGACAGAGGAGTCGTCTGACACTGCAGGACACCAGAGGAGAGGGAAGAAGACAACAGCACTGAGACAATCAGGGTGGCAGCTGTCCCCACAGGACACCCCAGGGCAGGATTTGGCCTCTGGAGGAGCATGGCCAGTGGTGGAGGAACATGGCTAATGCCAACATCACTGCAACAGGATGTTGTCACCTTTGGGGTGACCCAGCATCCCAGATTTCTGCCTTCACCAAGGCTCACCCTTCCCAAATGGTGCTCCCCCATTCAGAAACCCCCAAATTCATCTGACAGCACCACAGCAGACAAATCTGCAGGGTGGAAAGGTCTCTTGCAGCCCCCTCGAGGCCTTTGGAGCCATCCACAGCTATCAGGCCATCAGAGAGCAGAGCTGAGCTGGGGCTGACAAGGCCAGAGGGAAGGGGAGAGGTCCCACTGCGCCTGCTCTGACCCCAAACTCATGTGCTGCCTCTGGGGGCTGCAGCAGATCCAGATGAGCCTCTGAATCATCTGTGTGACCTCAGGGCACGTCACTTGACCTCCTCCTTCTCCTCTTATTTATCCTCCTCCACTACCTCATGGTGCCCCAGCTGCAAAAAGCCAAAACTTCCCCTGATAAACCACGAGCAGCAGACACAGCCCTGGAGCTGGATTTTTGGGGGAGAAAAAGCAAGTGGCTGTGTGGAAAGCAATGCTGAAGAAGCTTGGGAAAGCACCAGGTGGGGCTTCTCTGATATCTTGTACTGAGACTGAGCTGGGTGTCTGCTCCATCACTGCAGGACAGGCACAGCTCTGCATGTCCATCTTTCTCATCATCAAATTGGGATATCTGCTGAGCACATAACTGGGAGGGACTGACAGACAGGCTTGCAGAGCAACTTTGTCACCCAACTGCATAAATCAGAGTTGGCTCATCTAAATCAACTGTTCAAAGTCAGCTCCCAGCAGTGAGGGGGTTTGGATTTGGTCTCATGAAGCTGCCTGTCTTCATCACTTTGCTCAGGATAGCTGCTCCTGTTCCCAGAGAAAAGTGAGATCAAAACTGATAGAGGTGGATTTCTGCTGGAATCACTGAGTAACCCCTCCAAAGCCAGCACGAGATACTGAATAAAAGAAAGGCAAAAGAGGCCTGGGTGGTACTCAGGAAACCATGTAGAGGTGAGCACTGATTGGAAATTGTTTCTTCAGGGTGGATGTCATGTTTTGTTTGCTCAGTCACTACAGATCAGGGGCCCTGGAGCAGCTCTGTGTGAGGATGCTTCCAACAGAAATCTGGAAAACCACTCCATGGGGAGCTGGATACTTTTGGGACAGTCCTCAGCCTCAGAGCAGGATCAGCTCAATCTAGGTCTGGTCCAGCAATTTGCCCAACAGGTGATTAAAGATTTCAAAAGGTGAAAGCACCACAGCTTCCACAAACTGGGATAATGCTCCCAATGGGCTCCAGCTTCTCCCAGCTTCTTCACTGTCTGCAAGGCACAACAAAACACAAGGAGTGCTTGACAAGGTCCTTGCTCTGCCAGTGACTCACTGTTTACCCTTGGGGGTGTCACTTAACTGTTCTTGGCCTCAGATTTCCCAAGCTGAAGTGATGGCTGATGCCATCCCCAGCAGAGAGGCTCATGACAAAAGGTCCTGGTGTGACAACTTGAGGCCAAAGGTCTTTGGTAACCACAACTCAGGCTCCAGCCTCTGTCCCAAGGAAGGGGGAGCCAGCAGCCCTCAAAGCCATGAGTGCCAAAAGCAAATCCCATCATCAACCAGCCCAATTTAGGGTCCTGCTTTTGAGAACTCAGGGCTCAATCATGCTAAATGTTGTCTCTGCCTAAAGATGAGCACTTTGAGTGTGTTGGTTCCTGGGACTCAGTCATCAGACCATCCCAGACACCTCCAGTTGGTTTTTGTTTTTTTTTAATAAATAGTTTTGGGTTATCCTAGCATGCAACGAGAGATTTCCAGATCTGGCAGTGAGGCCAACTATGTTGAGGCACCACTTCCATGCTGGGGCTCCTATCCGTGACCTGATGTGAAGCCTCAGTGATAAATGCCTCTGAATTTCAATTCTGGGGGCAGGAAATTTCACACAAGGGCCATAAATCCCCAGACCTATCAAAACTTGTCCAAGCAGCAGACTCAGCTGCTCAGCCTGACCTGCTGCTTCCCAGCTACTTACCCTCAGATGGCTCCATCAGGTTTGGATCCAGGCTTGGACAGCATCTAAAGCATTGTTTGCCAATTTTCCCTGCTTTTTTAGGGAAAGATAAACATCCACACCAAGGCACTAAACCTGCCCCTGAACTTTTGTGAGGAATTTAGTTCGAACTCTAAGTCAGGCCACGTTTGAAAGCCTTATTTGCACTCATCAGTGTTTCAATGCCCAAAGTTTTGTGAGCAAATCCAGCTGATCTGGAAGAGGATCTGAAGACCAAGCAAACTGAAGGAACCACTCTTAGAAAATGAAGGAAAAAATTGTGTTGGCTGTGCTGCCTACCTGAGAGCCCTGAAGACAGGATGCTCTTGGAGACAGTGACCTTGTCCTCCGAGTTCTTGGCCCAGTCCACCATTCCCCTCCAGCCTTTCATGGGGAAAGTGATGTCAGTTGCTGCATTTGCAGGCAGTTTGTGGATACCAAGGACTAGGGAGAAGCAAGAAATGAAACCAGTGAGTGAAACCAGCTTCAATAAGTTCCATGTGTGCTCAAGAAAACATGGGAATCATTAGTGGGAAATCAGAGATATTGGGTCTTGGGAGCCATAGGAGTGATGCTCTCTTGAGGAGATGTCTGTTCATGAAAGAAGATAAAAGCAGGGCTTGTGCTTTGCTGAAAGGGTTCTGCCTGCATTAAATCTGGCAGAGGAGAGTCTGCTCCAGCACCTTATCTCCAGGAGTGGCCAGCAGCAGCTGATAAGAAGTGGGAGGAAGAACAAGACATCTCTTGGTTTGCCCTCCCAGCAATCAGCAGGACTTCCTCAGCTCCTGGCTGCATCCAGATCATCAACTTTAACAGCCACCAATGGACCTCTCTTTTGTGCACTTTCCTAATCCCATCATGAACCCATCTGTACTTTTTGGCTTCTGCAACTTCCTCTGGCAACAAGTTCCACGCTGCGATTGTGCACACAGCATCAATCAAACATTGCCTGCTGTTTGCTCGCTGTCTCCATTGGCTGCTGGGCTGTTCGTGTGTTCAAAAAATAAAAGAAAGAGTCTAATTCTGCCCAGTTCGTCATCTGTTCTCCATTTGGTAGTTATCTCCCAGATCTCTCTGTGGATCTCTCCTCTTCCTCATGAAATCCCAACTTCTTTGGAGAAAAGCCACCCTGTATTTATGCCCATCCATGTCATCCCCCAGACCTTTTAATATCCCACCAACTGCTGCCTCCCCTCCTTCCTTCTCTCCCCACAGCCCAGGTTATCCATATTGCACAGTAATTAACAGCTTTTGGGGGTCTCTTCCCAGCGTGGGGAGTGCCAGTGTACTCACCCAGATTGTCCGTGACTTGGTAGGAATCCCGGAAATCTTTCATGCGGAAGCCGATGACATCAATGAAATCCTCCACGAGCCTGAACAGCTCCTTGGCATTTGGCCCTATCTGCAAAGAGAGGCAGAATTTGGAGTAGATCAGATCCTAATGAGAGCAGCAGGAGCTTCTCTGCAGGCAAAGGTTTCTGCCCTCACACGTGAACTGGGAGCATATGCTGGGTATAATGGGCTGTTATGGAGCTGTGGAGAAGGAGGACTGGGAAATCCTAAGAGGAAGCCAAGAAAAAGGAAAAGAAAAAGAAAAAGAAAAAGAAAAAGAAAAAGAAAAAGGCAAAAATTTAAAAAATTACACTCAGATTGACAGAACTTAGGGTGGAGTGCAAGATTTTAAACAAAAGGAAATATTGGAAACCCTCAGGAGAACAGAATAACCTACCCATTTCCTTTCATAAAATCATAGAAATGCAGAATGGTGTGGGTTGGAAGGGACTTTAAAGATCATCTCATTCCAACTCCCTCTATTGAAAGCAACCACACCAAAGGACAATTGTGGCCTAATGTTGAATCCCAGGCAGCCTAATTTTCTCCTTTCCTGTTTTGTTGTCAGGATCCCACTCTCTGAATCAAGTTCTTGGTCCTGAGCTGTCCTGGAGTTTCTCTGCCTCATTTCTTTCCTATTTTTCCCCATTGATAGAGACATTGGCAGTGACTCTTCTTTACCTGTACTTTGAAACAATAACCAGTTTTCCAGTGACAAATTCCATAAACTATAATCCACTTGAAACAAGCCCTGCTGACTGCCTGCCTTCTCCTCAAAGCACATTTGCCCACAGGGGTGCAGCAAATGCCACAAGAGGCTGAATAAAAGCAGTTCAGCTCCTCTTCTTTTCCTTTTCCACCACTTTTATCATGTTTTCAGTTCCTCACCATAATCCAGACATTCTGAGGTGGCTGAGTGAGCTGGAGGGACATCTGGGGACAAAAAGGATGGGAAGGAGACAGGAGGAAGGCTGGGCCATGGAGAGTATGGGCAAGGAGCACAGGGGTGGCCATGCATGTCTGTCTCTCTGTCTCTCCAAGGAACCTTGGTAAGACTAAAACTGTCTCAGGATGAGATTAAAAAGTCCTGCCAGTACAGCAGGTGTGCGCAGAAGGAGGAGAACTGAGTGAGGATGCTATTTTTAGCTGCACACTTTTATATTCCATTACAGATTGAAATCACAAGGTCAAACCAAATCCAGGCCGCACTGGATGCTGCATTTTAGGTTTTATCATATAATGGTCGACAAAGCCTCTTTAAAAACCATTGTAGCCCTTCTCTGAATACCTTTATGGGATGTTTTAGTTTTTATTTTCCTGGAACAATATCTTTCTGCCTGGGGGGCCGCAGGGCATTGCAATGTGTGACTGCAATGAAGTTGGGTTTATTTTTAATGAGCAAATTGGGAGCCAAAGGCTTTGTTTTAAAAGAATCGGTCGATCTTATAAAATGCAGGATGTGATCCAGCAGTTTTAAGGGAGAAGCACAAAGCCTGCTAAAACCTCTGCTGGTATCCTGTTCACGGAGATTTCTGTGTCCTAAAGTCATGGTGTTGGGCTGTCAGCTCAATTCCCACTAAAATACAGACCAGGAAAACATTCTCCCTGTGATGTTCCCAATCCATGTGTAGGTCATGGTGGTGTGGGCTGTGCCTGCCTGGAGGTGCAGAGAGCAGATTGCACAGGGAGAGCCACTGGGAACAAAGTGCCACACAGAGTGAGCTGTTTTTAAGGGGATCAACAGGGTTTCCCTGTTGTCATGACAACTTGACAGTCTCCTCTGCTCAGTGCTGAAATACCTACAGGCACCTGGAGTATTTGGGCAAAGAATCACAGATTCAGGGTATGGTTTTGTTTGGAAGGGGCCTTCAAGGCTGTGTGGCCCAACCCACTTGCTGAAGCAGGGCCACCTTGCCCAGGACCATGTGCAGATTCTTTATTCCACCCAGAGCCAGACCATGTCACCCTCATCCAAATTCAACAGGAAAGCACAAGATATCAGGGAGAGGAGAAGAGAAGGAGAAGGAGAAGGAGAAAGAAGGAGAAGGAGAAGGAGAAGGAGAAGGAGAAGGAGAAGGAGAAAGAGAAGGAGAAGGAGAAGGAGAAGGAGAAGGAGAAGGAGAAGGAGAAGAGAGAGAAGAGGAGAAGGTTGCTCAGCTCCTGACAGAGTTGCTGTTGCATGATGAAAATGTTTTTGAGAGTCCCTGTCTCATCTTCTGGACTTTCAACAATTGTCTTTTTCACAATTGCCAGCACTTGTTAAAAAGTTTTTCCCAGAGGACATTCCTGTTTGGTGTGAAGATAACTGGACTCTGGTGTTGCTTTGTGTGTTGGGTGATTTTTTTTTTCTGGATTATTTTCTGTTTCCAGATCTTTTCGAGGAATTTTGCAGGAGCAACAGCTCACAAAAGGAATGTTAAAGGGACACAGGAAAGTTGTGACACAACTCCACAACAGAGAGCTCAAATGGGGCACACAAATCTAGAGCCAAATAAGACACAGAAAGAAAAAACAACAACACCAGCCCATAATACTTGAGAATTCAGCTACAGAATTGTTCATAGAATCTTAGAATTGCCTGGTTTGGAAGGGACTGAATGTTCATCTAATTCCAAGCTCTTGCCATAGGCAAGGACACTTCTTACATCTTGCTCAAAACCCCATCCAACCTGGCTTTGAACACTTCCAGGAATGAGGAGCTCAGGACTCAGCAGGATCCCTAACCTTTATCGGAGAGAAATAAAACACAACTGAACCCAGAAGCTCAGAGAAATAAAGCAAAACACAACTGAACCCAGAAGCTCAGCCAAGCAGACCCCAGCTCTGAAAACCCCTCCAGTCCTACATCTTTTCAGCTAGGTACTCAAAGCTACATGATCCCACTTCTTTATCTTAGCAAGAGGAAAGAGTGGAATTACAGAAAGACATCAGGATTTCCAACTCCCAGCTAAGTCTGACCCTTGAAATTCATGCCAAATTCGGTTTGCACCACCAGCATTTCACTGTTCTTCATGCAGAGAGTCTGGCTCAGAGCTGAGATCCTGTGGCTCCCTGAGTTACTCCTTTAATGTGACTCAGCCTGGAACTAAGCTCTTCTTAGGAGGTCATGTAGATACTTGGAAATTCCCCTCCTCATGGCTTAACCCTGTGCTGAAAGCCTCTTTATTCCCAGGGAAGGTGCTGAAGGTTCATACCAGCTGAGCTTCCTCCCATTTTTCCCGGTTTTCCTCTGACAAAATGTTGCTGATGATCTGGACGAAGTTCTGGAAAAGGGAGACAAGAGAGGACAGGAGAGATTGTTATGCAAGCATAGCCCAGGCTGGGAAGGTCACATGAGATTTAAAGATGCTCCAAAAGGTTCTCATGATCCCATTCCCAAAAGGTTCCAGAGCATTTCACAGGTCCCCAAGGATGTAAATGGCAAAACAAGTTTTAATAATACTTTTTTCCCAACAATTTCACTTTAACTACTGTATCTTCTAAGGCTTTGGATTGGGAATAGGTCTTGCATCGATTACTGATGTTTTTTAAGGACAGATATGGTAAATATTTGACAGAAACTGGTTAAAACCAGATGATCTTCCATTGCATAAATCCTTCCATATCTTTTTTTTTTTCTATTATTTCTGCTGTTTACAATATATGGAAACCTCAGGATCCCCTTTAGTTTGTGACCAAGCAGGAGACACAGAGATGGATCAAGAGGGAGCTGTCCATGCTAGGACCTTTGCAGCACACAATGAGAAGGAAGGAGACAGGAAATTTAAAACTATTGATTTTTTTTTCTCCAGTTTTACTACTCTCTGCAGTTCCTGCAGGATCAGTTTAATGTTTCAAGTCATGAGGTGATGACCCATCCCAAGGGTGTATCTGGTAGCTGCTGGATATAAGGAAAGAAACCACGATGATATTTCCCTACATTAACACCCCAGTACCCAATGCCACAGGATCATTTTACCTCAAGTCATTAGCCTGAAATCCCTACCAAATAATGTTCCCATATCCATTAGGCTCTGCAGTGAAGTGCTATCATGTTGAAATTGTTCAGAGTGACCTTGACTTTTAAGTTCTCAGTTTATAAACCAAGGAAGAACCGCCTTGAAATAATGGTTTGTTAATACAGAAAGACATTTACATTGGGAAAAATATTAATCTGATTTTCCTCAGCACTGTATCAGCTATGATCAGTGTCTGTAATCAAACCTGGAACCCTGGAACACCTCTCTAAGCCAGCCTTGGGCTCCAGGAAATGCAACTGGGCTCACCTGCACATCCCCAGAAGTCGGGCTGTGGTAAGCCCTACGGAAGATCTCTGTCATGTTCCTGAGTACATCCATGGTGGACAGCAGGTCCCCACTGTAGCTGGTCCCATCCTGGGAGATTTCCACAAGGTTCTGGAGCACATCTGACAGCCCATCTCCCATCAGCCCACGCTGAGCTTTGGCAAGGTGTTCCCTGGTCTGAGAAACAGAAAAGAAATGCTAGGAACACTTTTAGGGACAGTCAAAGTCGAGTTAATGAGCTCGGTGAAGGAATTGCAGGGGAAGGTTTTTGACCTCCCTCACAATTCAGAGTGCAGATCAGATGAATCTGACAATCTTTGCTGGCCTGAGAGACTCTGGTATTTTTAAAATTATAGAAAAGAGTGATATCTTCTAAATTATCTTCCAAGTGCCTCTAAAATGACTGAGAACTAAATTTTTCTATTTTGCCCACAAAGAAGAAATTGTCCCACTACAAAGTTTCTTCTGTTCATAGCCTAACAGAATATTTATGCCCCAAAAATTTTGTTTTCTTACAATCAATTTGGAACTATTTTAGGACAGATTATACCTTACTGTGAACAGGAGAGATCAGTTCTCCTAAAGGTGGCAGGAGACCAGCAGATTTCCTCATAACAATGAATTTATGATTAACAAAAATGAAGATGCTTATTTAAAAGTGATGCAGCCACAGTTATAGTTAATGACAATGTGATATGAAAGGTCTGGAAAAACCCAGATTCTGCCAAGCTGGATATTAAAATATCCTGAAAGGAACCATCTCTTGTCCATGGAGTGCCCATGCATCACAAGGTAGGCAGAAAAAACAAGATAAAATCAAGGTAGAACTGGAAACTCTTTTTTCCCCTCTTTTTTTGTAACTGTAGCCATGCAACAATCATTGGGGAGGATCCTAAACCTGCAGAGCTGAGCAGGGGCTGCCTTACCATCATTTGTATGTTCCTGTAATCAATAGAAACACACTTGATGTACGTTGGAGGCTCCCAGTAAGCGATGCCTTCTTCATCTAAGATGCATCTTCGAAGGATCAGCCCTGGAAGAATGAAAGAAACAAACATAGGAGTGAGAACAGGATGAAAGGTCAAACATTCAAACATTTGTCATGAGTAGGAAGTCATGGAACAAGAGGACACACCTTCAAGTTGTGCCAGGGAAGATTTGGGATGGATATTAAGGAAAAATTCTTCACTGAAAGAGTGGCCAAGCACCAGAACAAATTGACCAGAGAAGTGGTGGAATCACCATCCATGGAAGTGATCAAAACAGGTGTAGATGTGGCATTTGAGGGTGTGGTTTAGTGGTGGATCTGGAAGTGCTGAGTTAATGGTTGGACCTGAGGATCTCAGAGGTCTTTTCCAACCTTCAGGATTTGATGGAGATCACCCAGGACTGGTCAGTGCACCAATTCAGACTCAGCTACCAGCACAAAGGGCATCAGAGGCACCTGCAGATGTCTGAACAAGCCTTTAGGGAGGATTATCTTTGTTTCCTTCTCCTGCCTTTTACTACTGTAGAACAGCAGAAGGAACTGGGCAGGAAAACAAAAATTAACAAATTGAACGTGGCTAGTCAGGGTGAAGAGAAGCTTTCTTCTGCCCTAGTGGCAGCATTTTTCCTGGTTTGGGAAGCCCCACGAGCCTCCCCAGGTGGTTTGGTCTGGTACTTGCAACTAAAGCAGGGCTTGTGCTGCCCACGCAGCCTGGAGGGGAATAAACACCCAAAAGCACCAGTTTTACATCAGCTGAAAATCTCTGAAAGCTGCTTCCAGTCCTCCCCCAGGCCTCCCTCAGCTCCAATCCACAGAGGGCTTTGCAGTGGTAATCACATGCCTTGTGATGTGGAGGAACAGACATATCAGAGAGGAGGAAAGGGAGAGGGATCACCCTGTCCCAGCTATCATGATGCCTTTTGGAAAGTCTCTGAGGATCAGGTTTGCTGGGTCTGCAGTCCTTTTGCTGCTGCCAAATGATTCAGTGACTTTTCTTTGGGTACAGCCCTTCTAGGACAGCACTGGGGATGATACTGACTGTTCCAGCTGAGTCAAAGAGAGCTGTCTGCATCCAACCCTCTCTCTCAAACAAAATAAAACTTTTACACATTATTGACACTGCTGCCACTATTTTTGTTCCTTCCTGGCAGTGAGGAACATCCAGCTGAGGACAAACCCACCACCAGCATCCTGGAGCCTTCTCTTCACTACCTTCCACTCCTGTGGCCACAGGTAACACCTGGATGCCCATATCCTTTTACTTTACACCAGAACAATCAGACCTTCAACTTGAGTGCTCAAAGAAATTTTTAGAGAGGTGCTGAGGTTTCCAAATGTAAGTGGACAACAGAATTCAGATTTCCTGAATTTTTAGTGTGGCAGTTGAAGGTCAGGAAGGATACCACTGAGAGGTTAAAAGTGTTTGTGAACATAACTGATGCCAATCATTTGCACGTGAGAAGACCATGATTCTAAAGTTTAGTTTTGAATCTCACATTTTTAAATTATTAATTATTACATTTACAAAAGAATATATTATTGGCGCTGCTCAGGTATATAAATTTCAAATAAACACAGATTTAATTTTTGCTTGACAACCCCTTTAAGTTTTATTATGCATTGCCACATGAGAAAACTGAATGCCTTTGAGTTCTGAAAGAAAAGAACAAAATAATGGACAAAATATGTCTCATACAGCAGCTGCTTTTATGGGCATTGGAGAGAACTGCAACACCCAAATCCTAAAGTTCTACCTGCTCTACAAAGCTTTTTGTAGATAATGGAGGGAGGGTATCTTAGCATTCCTTAATTTCAAATTTTACACAGGGTGAATGGAAACCACCTCAGATTATCCAGTAGCAACTAAGATGTTTGTGCTTTCACAGCGAAAACAGAAACCCAGATGGAGTTAATTTAGCCAGGGACAAAGGGAGAGAAGTCCACATGCCTCTCCTGTCTAGGACACAAAGGATGAAGGATCCCCTGATGAGAGGCCACCTGCCCACCATGCAGTCACCCTTACCAGTGGCATTGCGGGGACACCGGACGGCGGCAGCATCCCCGGCTGGCGTCTCCTTCCAAACCACGGGGCCAAGACTCTCCTCATCACAGATTTCATGGGGCTCTGCCAGGAGAGAAAAACTCAGTTGGTGAAGCTTCCTCCTCAGCAAGGACATGGAAAAGGGAAGGATGGGAGTGTGGTCTGTGAGCCAGGAGGTTTGAGCTGCACTCCCAGCTCTGCCGGTGCTTAGTCCCTCACAAAGTCACTTCACCTCTCTGGAATTTGTTCTGCCTGTCTCAAAACTGGGCATTCATCCACACCAAGGATTAGCTCACTAGAATCCATGGGAAAGTCCACTCACATCCTTGCCTTGCGGCAGTTCTTTGCAAGAAAACTGCTGTTGCTACCCTCTACTAAAGAGTTTTATTCCTTAAATTTTAATGGGCAGATCTTTTGTGAGTGAGCTCCATGACTCCACACTCCACCTCTGCCATCCCTCAGGGTATCACCTTCAGTGTTGGATGTATCTAAAATGAGGCTTGGCATGAATCCGTGGATTAGGAATGAAGGAAAGAACAAGCAAATGAAAAGACAAGATGGACACATCCCCTGGGTGGTCTTCATTCTGCCTGCTTCCATCTTGTGCACAAAAGAGAGCAGATCTGAGCCCCAGCAACTTGGAACTGCATCAGAAGCTCATTTCCAAACACTGCTGCAGAGCCCAGGAGCCTACAGAAATGTGTTTTGAGACATCACAGAAAAAAAAAAAAAAATCACTGGAAGGATGGTTTTGGAAGCTTCTGTCTGTGGGTGGAGCTGAGTCGGTCCTGGAGTTGGTGGGATCTGGGAGAAAAACATTCACTACAGGAGGTTTTTGTGCTGAGAAACTCATTATTTGCAACATGTAAAGCAGAGGGAGCCATGAGGATGGTGTTAAAGCTATTTGTCACTCCTGCGGGAGGGAAGGAGAAAAAACTTGATTTAATAGTTTCTGATTACAGTTTTTATTCATTGTGCATTTTACATTATTCAATGTAAAATTTCCAACACAAAGGAAGATGAGTTTGTGCCTGCAGCTGGTCAGGACATGTCCCACTGCTGCTCTGGGACTACCCAGGGACCAGCCTGGCTGTGGGGAGAGCTCAAACCTAAATTATGGGCATGGCAAGTCCTGCTTCTTTGAAGAACTCCTAGAGGACCCAGCAAGCTGCCTGCACATCACTGCTCCTGCAGGCAGGCTCCAAGACTGCCCCAAACCCCAGCTGCAGTTCAAAGATGAATTCCTCCCCAGTAGACACTGGGAATGAATAAGCTGAATTCTCTGCCTGGAAACAGATGCTCCTTCCCCTGGTTTAAAGTTCCCTTGTGAGTAATCACTATTGTGATGGAACTCCGGAGGGCAGCGGGACCCCAGCTGTGCTCTGCACATGAGCAGGGCTCATCCCTCAGCCAACAGCTTGTGGCTTCTGCAGATAAGCCAGAACAGGGGTGGAAAAGAGGCAGTTTCATTTCCAGCCTGCTGACATGGAGTGTGGGGCAGAGAGATTGAATAACCCAGTTGTGACAGCACTTGGTCACCCACAGAGCCTGTCCCAGAGCAGGGAGATGATTTCCAAACTCTTGTCCCCGTGCTTTGTTCATAGTCAAAGATTGTCCCATGGCTCACAGGAGGGTTCTGGGGTGTGGAAGCTTCCAGCACCCTCAGCTACAAAGCAGCAGAGCACATTAAAAAGCAGAGAGGGAGAATGTTCACATGTCTTCTCCCCTTTTCTCCCCTGCTGGCCTGTCAAAACTTCCTGGTCTTGTCACCCCTGCAGTGTCCCTGTGGACCACTGAGGGATGCTGTGGATCAGAGATGCTCTTTAAAAATACACTGATTGGAGTTGTCTTGCCAGTGAGCACAGGAGCAATTCCCAGGCCAGGAGAGAATCCTTTCCTTTTTTCTTCCTTTTTTTCTTTTTGATGTTGCTTCACAACAGAATCCCTTTTACCAGAGTAACCTATTTGCACTGGGAAATTTTAATAACTAACCCAATTAAGTTCAATTCTTCTGCTCAAATCGAATCATGCCAGCATGTGATACTTTCTGGAGAACAAATTGAGCGGGTTTATTTTTAGCCTCTGATGTTTTCCCCACCTTTTCCTTCCCTTGCAAATTAACAACTGCAGTGAGACCCTTCTGGCTGTGAACCCTGGCAGGCCCCAGTGCCTGAGACTTGCCTTTTTCCTTTTGAGCACTGCACAGGCATCAACCCCTGCGGAAAAAGAAGAAAAGATCGGGCTTGTTCTGCCAGGGCCCCAGCTGGCACACACTGAAGCTGAACTAAATCTGCCTCACTCTGTAGACACCACCAGACAACCCGGTGCTAAGATTTTCTGTGGCGAGGGAGAGCTTTGTGGCAGAGTTAGAAGAGATTCTCACACGCCACTGCTAATTGAGAGGCACAGCTTGTAAGGAGAGGTGATGCCTTTCATTAAGAGTGTAGCTGGGAAGAGTGACAAGGCTGTCACACAGCTTCTTTCTCTGTCATCTCTGAGCTGAACGTGCTGGAACTTCCATGCTGAAGTCCTTTGGCTTTCATCTCTTTGTCCTCAGCACTTTGTGAGGGAGTCTGAGGGGTTGGCTTGGCCTCCACATGGAAGATCTGCCCCCGGGTACTCCTGCATCAAAACTTCTGCCTCCTGCCCTTTAGGGAGATGCCCCTTTCCAGTAGGAATGCTGGGATACTGCCATGAGAATCTCTCCTGTCTCTCACTGAGCTGCTCTGACAATTAATTACCCTTTCAGTCAAAGCTCATGGCCTGTTACAATCGATGCAATCTGACTGCAAACATCACAAAGGCCATTGATTCCCCACCAGCAATTTCACCAGGCCCTTCAACTCAGATTGAGGAAGAAAGCAGAAATGGTGGGCAGACCTTTTTTTTGGTCTCTGTATAGTCTGAGAGGTAGACAGAACATTCCCACTTGGAAGTGTTCACTCCAGTTTATTTTTCACATCCAAACTCAGGTTTTTCAACTGCCTACAGCTCACCCACCCTCCATTCAGCATTTACACTCTGCAGGAGGATAAGATTTGGGTAAAGCTCTGGCAGATGCAGACACATCTTTTTCTTAAAAATTTCTACTGCTGTGCAGGCTTCCCAGAAGTCAAGGGTGGGAAACCTGTGCAACATCCTCAGCACTCAACAGCTTCATAGATTTGAGACTCTGATACCAGTTTTTGCTACCAAACAGTTTCTCTTTTCCTCTTGTAACTCTATGGCAATGAAAAGATTAAACCACCAAGGCAGGGCTGGTGTGATTGACCAAATATTCACTGAAAGCAACACAGCTGCATTGGATTCTGCAACAGTTCAATCAAGATCTTGTACCTTGTACCTGGGTCATGGGTAAGATTTTATTAGATTACAACCCTTTGTAGCGTTCAGATCTCTGACAAATAACATGGAAGCCATTCCTAAAATCCAAAATTCTGCCTCTTTCAAAGGAAAGCACGAGGGGTCTGGGGTACATACCAGGACATTTTCTGTCATTGCACTGCTTGTACTCCTCCTTGGGACCCTGGCAAGTCTCCCCACCGAAGAAGGGGCCGTAGCACACCCGGTCACGTCTCTGAGTGCCACCTCCACACGTGGCAGTGCAGCTGCCCCACACTCCCCAGGCCTGCCACTTCCCATCCACTGAAAACAAAAAAAAAAAAAAAAAGGAGGAAAAAGAGGGGAAACAGCCTGTTATGTCCCAAACATCATCTGCAACAGAAGGAATCAAGATCCAAAGATGAGCAGAGGAACACAGGGTGTGTAGGGCAGGATTTGGTAGGAAGGGAGGTCTCCTGCTTTGGATCTTGGTCTGATCCTTAACAGACATTAAATCAGAGTGTTTCCATTCCCATCCCATCAGCCCAAGGGTGGTTTTGTATTATTCCTCAGCACCTCCACGCTCTGCAAAAGCAGCCCTACCTCTTTCCTCAGGCTGAGATTTGGGGCTGTGCTCATGAACACTCTTCCCATGGGCAGGGATTCAACCTGGCAGCCATATCTGCCAGGCCAGTTCCACATCTGGAGTTCACTGGGAATGTGCAATGTGTGTGTGAAAATAGAACTTCATGGAGAAGGTCTGGCTCAGGGATTTAGAGAGACCAGCACAGCCCTTGGGCAAAAAACCATGAAGAGACCTCAAATAAACCTCCCTCCAGCTGTTTCCATTGCACTGATGCTTCATGTGCCTTAGAAAAAGGTTTGGGATGTTGTCTCATTCCCTTGTATCTTCTCGCAGCATCTTTCCAGATCCAGTGGAAATGTGACTTCTTTATGTTAAAAATGACATTTATCAAAATTCTGTTTCTTTTACATTAACAATGGCATTTATCAAAGCACCATAAAAATGTTAATTAGCCCTCACAACAAGCCTGCAAGGTAGGGAAACCTTCTCCTCTGCTGTGCCACAACAACTCAGTGACAGAACTAGAACAGGGCCTAAGTGTGATCTTTACAACTTGGGCTTTAATTTTGAGTTACCACATCATCTTGGGTTGAATAATTCCTTTTGGGAGGGCAGGAGATCCATGCCTGCTCCAAGAAGTAGACAAAAATTACCAAATAAGAGGGGCAGCACAAAATCCTGGTGCTTTATTTAGTTATGCAGTGGAAAGTATGACCTGAGTTACTTTCACAGGTAACTCTAAAATCAGTGAGACAAGTTTGTCTTAAAAATGATCTGTGAAGCCCGTTTTTGTCTTTAAAGATCTCCCTAAGTTGCAAAGAAAGAGTGAGATTCCTAAAGATCAAAACCTACTTGAGACCATGTAGGAAAATCCAACACCTCTGGTAAATACTGCAGATAATGATGCTATCAGAGTGTAAAGGGATCCTCTGAAGAAATAGGTAGAATAATTCCAGTAGTAATAATAATTATTATTATTACTGTTTTATTATTATTGCTGTTATTGCTGTCATTACTATTAAGTCACAGGTGAGGGAAGTGACAAATCTTACACAGACACGAACAAAGGCTTTATTGTGACAGACCTTCTCACTGATAGAGTTTAAATCTGAGATACAATGGAGGATCCCCCATTTGCTTGAAATATGACTGGGAACATTGAAATGGTGGGAGGAGAGGAACAAAACAAAAAGAGGATGGAAGCTGAAGCCCTGTGGAGGCAAGGGAAGGGTTTCATTGATATTTTCATTGGAGTTTTTTAAGCTCATGCTGAAAAGCTGATATCTAAGGTTAGAAAGACACATTCCCTGTGGGCAATCACTCACCTCTGTGGGGTCTCCTGAAACATTTGCCAGCAATGGATTTTGGCTGGCATATGTTGGAACTTTGGATACTAAAAGTTTTGAGTTTTTTGTCTTGAGGGGCACAGATTCCTGCTTTAGAACAGTAGCTAATCCTTCTTCTTCACCTTGTTCTTCATGGGTTTGGGTGGTATTTTATAATTAGAATAGTCCGCATTGCGGACTTCAGGTAATTATTGGTTAAAAGTGAAAATACTTTAAATATAATTTCTTAATTAGATAGTTTAATCTTAACAAACCCTATAGAAAAAGATAGTTCACCATTTTATAGCTAGTTAGTGGAATGCTGTAAAACTCACAACTTGTAAGACTGTAATATAAGCTATTATTATATATATTATATATATATATATAATATAATTATAAGCTATAATATAGAATATAAGAAATCTATAATGTAATGTAGATTATAAGAAATAATAAACACTTAAATCTGAACACGAAATACTGTCTTGAGCAATTTCAATCCCAACCTTAACAAAAACAAAACAAGAAACCAAAAACCAACAGGCACGGTCTGTTGGAATGATCCAGATGTGCCAGAACGGGCTCAAGTCTTCCTCAAATAAACACTTTACTGGGATTGCAGAGGAAGATGGGCCAAGAGGAAGAAGAAGGCATTGTCACCCACCTGGGCACTGGCGCAGGAAGCAGTCGCGGGTCTCCACCCAGTGTCCCTGGCACTCGGCTCCGCCGTAGGAGGGCCCGTTGCACTCCCGCGTCCGCTGCTGGGTCCCGTTGGAGCAGGAAGCGGAGCACGAGCTCCAGCTTGACCATTCATTCCAGTTGCCGTCCACTGAGTGGCCCAAAGAAAGAAAACGAGCGGAATGTGAAGACCTTTCCCTCTGGGAAGAGCTGCGTGGTGACAGCCTCTGGCCTTTGCCAATCAGGGACCGAGGAGGGGAGATCAAACCAGAGCCACAGAACTTCAAACAGGGCAGAGATTATAAAAAAAAAAGTTCGGGTGACTGTGGCAACAGCGATTCTTGGGGTCCTCTGAAGCCTCCAAGAGTCTCACAGGATGCAAGTAAAATTTTAATGTGCGGTAACATTTTAATGTTCCGCACTCCACGTAATATCATAGAAGTTGAAATTGTTGATATTCCGACATGAAAGTCCAAACTAATAACGTTGCCAATCACAACACAACATCACACCAGAGAATGTGGCTCATGTTTTCACTAAACACTTTGAAGGGAACACTTCATTACTGTGACATTTCCTATTTGGAGCCATCAGCACTTTTTTAAGGGACCCATTTTCAGCAGAGCAGTGCATGAATCTGTGGAGAGTGAACTTTCTCAACCATGCAAATTCTCTGTTTTTCATTAAAGTACAGCCAGAAACTCGAATCACAGTGTTATTGACAGGAATCCACCATTCCATGGCTGGAAAATGTGGAAGCAAAGGTGTGCTCCAACAGAGGACTGGGAACAGGGTGAGTGTGTGTGGTCAATGTACTTCTCTCACAGCTGAATTAACTCTGACAGGCTGGAGATGTTTCACCCAGCAGTGTCTTTGATAATTAAATAGAGGAGGGAGGGACAAGGAAGATGATAGGGACGGGGTTGGAGAGAAACAGGAATACGTCTTATTATCATGGTATGGACTGAAGCATTCCCCAGTGTGGTGGTTACACCCTAATTGGTCCCTGATCAACAGATCCATCACCCAGACTGCTCTTCCTGAAGCATTTTTCTCATTAACAGTGGTCATCATGCTCTGTTTACATCTAATTAGCTGCTAGATCTCACTTGGGAAAAACAACCTGAATCTCTGAAAAGTCTGAATTCTGGCTTAAATCACATTGCAGCTAGTTTTTTGTTGGTTTTTTGTTTGTTTGTTGTTTTTTTTTTTTTTGCTTTGCTTTGCTTGTCTGTCCAAGAAAAATAAATTCCAACTGGTCCCCCATGTAATCTGCAAGGAATTGATCAGCCCTGTGCAATGCCCATTGCAATTGAGAAGTTTTTGTTTGCAAACTCAGTTAAAAAAAAATGTTAAAAGCATCCAAATGAGCAACTGTTAACTCAAAGGGGATCACAAGGTGTGCAAAATCAGGCAGGCATAAATGCATCTCCAAAAGGTGCTAGTTTTTAACAATCCAACCATTTATGTTTTTATTGTGCATAAATTCAAGGCTTTGTGCCAGTGCCTATCAATCCCAACAAGGGAAAATGTGAAACACAGTGTTTGACAGGTGATTATTCTTTGGAAATGATCTAAAACTCCACCAAGTAGGTCCTACCAGGTATAAATTAGCGTGGCATTTCTGACTGAAGGCTGTGCTGCTAAGTTTCCATGGACTGATCATAAAATCATGGAATCATGGGATGGCATGGGTTGGAAAGGTAAAGATCATTTAATTCTACTCCCTTTGCACTATCCCAGGTTTCTCCAAGCCCTGTCCAACCTGGCTTTGAACACTTCCAGGGATGGGGCAGGCACAGCTTCTCTGGCCTCATCACCTTCACAGGGAAGAATTTTTTCCTAATAATGATGCTGCCTGCCCCTCATAAACATTTCCCTGTGTTGGCAAAGTGAGACTGCATTCACCACATTCAATGACATTTACCAAAAAACTGCATTTATCAAAAAAAAGATTTGCATTTTTCCAACACACTCCCTGCTGCTGGTGATTGGCAGCTTATCAGGAGAGCAAGCATTTGGAGATGGCAAAATAAAGGAGTCAAATTCATAATTTGGTCGTTCAGCAGGGGATTGGGAACAGGTAATTTCCTTGTAGTTATTCACAAGCTGTAATTTCAGAAACGTTTTTAAAAAAGAGGAAACAAGGGTGGCTGTGCTGCCCCTCCAGGCACCTTGCACTGATGCAAAGATGCTTCTTGGTCAGGATGCTGAGGGGTTCCCATCACAGCCACTGCTAAGGACTGCTTGGTGCCATGGTCACACCACAGTGGGGGTCTCTCAAAAATGTTCATTGTGTCATGAAGGCATTGTTTTCCTTCTTTTTCCCTTTTCCAAGGACTTGGGGCCTAGCCTGTGTCCTAGGACGTGGGGCCTACCCTGCTCCTCCCCATCTCAGGAGGAATAAAGGCCCTGTTGTCCCTGCAGCAGAGTATTTTTATCAACTGTAGCCAAAAATCCTCAGAGCAGGGTGGTAATAAACACTGAGAGTGTCTGGGGTGTCAAACACCCATTGTTGTGCTTCAATGATTCCCCCAACGCCACTCTCATTTGGCGCTGCCAATTCGCTGATTGCCTTTGTGGCACTAATTAGAGCTGAAGCCTTGCAGTTGGGCTGCTTGTCTTTTCCACTGCTGTTTCGGTCCCGTATTTATTTGTATTTAAATTAATTATGGATCAATGTTAACTCAGGGTATGCTTTATTGCCCAAGCAATGCCAGCTCTGACTTCTTAAATTTGTCTTTTTATGACAGAGTCAATTTGGTGTCTGGGAGGTTCTTATTCCAAGCAGAGTCTTCTGGACAGCAGCCAAATATCCAAGGATAGTTACTTGGAGTGAAAACTCGATGGGAAATGCCAGGAGGCTTCTCACTGTTTTCACAAAGTTCTCATCCCTCCCACAATCCCTCTCCTCCTCCGGGGACATAATAATGTCTCATAATGATTCTCATTAAACTGGAAAAATGTCAGTTGACATTATCCAGGGATGGGGAGGGAGTTTTGGGGAGCTCGCTCGTGTACAGATTGTGTTCACCAGGATACCCAGAGTTAAATTAAGAGGGACTCTGCTGTAAACCCAGGGCCTGTCAGAGGAAAGAAACCTCTGGAGCATAAGTGGATTTCCAGGTGGTAAAAGCAATTTCACCTTGAGATTCTTTCTGATGTTTCAAAGCAAAACTTGAGGAGAGGAATTTGGAAGTGAAATTCAGGGGCAGGGAAAAGATAAAAAGATTAAATTTGGCATGGGAGGCCATTAGGAGTCTCTTAGTTTATCTCACCACCCAGAGCAGGATCAGCCACAAAGAAAACTTGCATTTAAACAGAATTAATGCACAGAGAAGTAAAACTATTAATTAATTCCAGAACAAAAGACCCAGTCAGGCAAAATAACTTTAAACCATTCAGTGGGAAGTAAGGTGAGAAGCTTAAGATGGTCTTGGAAATAAGAGTGGCAGCCAAATCCAACACATGTAAAGTATCCTCTGCAAGAGACCACACAGGGCAAACCTGAACCTGAGACATCTCTGAGCTGAACAACCCCAGAAAACACCTCTGGGTTGCTTCTTCCATGAAACCTTTCCTCAGGATCCTCCTTGGGGTAGTTCAGAATTTCGCTGGAGTCAGTTCAGACCTTCATGTGCTGTGTGAGGGACACCGAGCTGGGGAGACCTGCTGGAGGGGAGCTTTCAGATCTGTCACTGTCCCTACCTGGGCAGAGAGCGATGTTGCAGAACTTGGTTTGCTTCTCCGGGCCCTCGCAGGGGTTCCCACCGAACTGGGGTGGTTTGCAGGTGCGAGTCCGGTCCCTGTAGCCTCTCCCACAGGTGGAAGAGCACAGGCTCCATGGAGACCACTCATCCCAGGTGCCATGCACTGCAAGGGAAGCAGAAGAAGTGACTTTTCTTTCCCACAGGAGGCCTGAGGAAGTGAGGGAGCCCACAGGGCACAGCTTCTTCCCACCCGGAATGAGCAGCGTGTGGGAAGCTGGAGAACAAACCAGCCCAAAATGTGCAAGAGGAACATCAAGTAATTTCTTATGCTTTGCTATCAACACCAAGTGTCTGCTGCTTTCCAGTCTTTGAAATAAACCAAAATGCACTTTTAGCTGATCCTAATTTTTCAGAACTTTGAGTCAATGGGGCATTTTTTAAGCAAAAGATGGATTTAGCTAGAAAGGAATAAAACCCCACTACCCTTAGGGAAGCATCATCACCATCATTTTGTTGCTTCTTTTTTTCCCCCCTCCCAACATTTTCTCATCGAATCCTCAAAGACTACAACATTTTAAGGCTTTCAGAAAAGCTGCAGTCTGATTATTATATATACTGCAGTCTGATTATATATATACTGATTACTATCATAGGTCAGTAACACCTCAGAGGCAAAGTTAGGGAGACCTGGAAGGGTAAAATGGAAGGGGCAACATGCTCCAACAGTGCTCAAGACATCACTGGTAGCTCCTGGAATTAGACATCTAATTGATTTTAATCCAATCTAATTAGCCTTCTAATCTATATTAATCTAATCTTCTCCAATCTAATCTAATCTAATCTAATCTGGCCAAGTTATTTATGGAATTTTAGTCACTATAATCTCCAGAGGCCAAATGTTATAAGAATGCACTGATCTCTCTAAAGAGACTTCATCCCTTCCAGCTTTACCAGAGAAGCTAATGCCAAATCAATAATCCTTCAGAAAAGTAGAAAAACAAATAAACAGGGACTTTTCTGGTCCTTCATCAGTTGTTAATAGTGACTGGTGCCCCAGTTTCAGGAAAGAGGGTTAAAAACTAATTCTCACCAGGCATCTTGCATGATAAGAGATAACCAGAGGAGGAAACAAAAGAAGGAACATGGATGGTGATTTCACCATGGATGGTGGCTTACCCATCATAGAATTGTTTCTGAAAAAGATATTACTGGTCATGAGAAATGAATAACATTCTTAACAGCAAAAATTCTTCAAAATAATCATAGAAACCTAGAATGGTTTGGGTTGGAGGTGACCTCAAAATTCATCTCCTTCCAAATCCCTGGCATGAGCAGAAACAGCTTCCACAATCCCAGGCTGCTCCAAGCCCTGTCCAACCTGGCCCTGGACAATACCAGGGATGGGGCAGCCACAGCTTCTCTGGGCACCCTGTGCCAGGTCCTCACCACCCTCACAGGGGAGGATTTTTTCCTAATATTCAATCTAAACCTACTCCCTTTCAATTTGAAGCCATTCCCCCTTGTCCTGTCACTAAATACTCTTTTAAAAAGTCCCTCTCCATCTTTCTTGTAGGCTCCAGTCTCCTCAGAAGAGCCTACAAGAAAGATGGAGAGGGACTTTTATTTTTTCACCAAAACTTTTTTTTTCACCAAAATTGTTCCTGACCTGGAAATGCCCCAAAAGGCACCTGCCTGCAGGTGTACTGAGTTGAACTTCAGACAGCATGGTATTGTCCACACCATGTAAAGCAGGTGCCGATCTTGTGGTGCTTGGTCTATCAAGAGTCTCTGTATGAGGCCTTAAGGCATGAAGAGAAGGATCAGGGAATAAAAACCATCTCCCTCCAAGAATTGCAGAATCATAGAATGGTTTGGAATGGAAAGGAACTGAAAGATTATTGCAATATTCTTGCTTGATGTCTGGGAGGAATGATGAGGAGGACTCCATCTTATCAGAAGGCTAATTTATTACTTTATTATACTATATTATATTAAATAATGCTATACTATACTAAAAAATACAAAAAAACTTACTAAATACTAAAAATTAATAACAAAAATTCGTGACTCTTTCCAGTCTCAACACAGCTTGGCCCTAATTGGCCAGTGAGTCACAACAACTCACACTAGAGTCCAATCAAGTAATCACTTTCGGTAAACAATCTCCAAACACATTCTACATGAGCAAAACACAAGAGAAGCAAATGAAATAAAAATTGTTTTTCTTTTATCTGAGGCCTTTTGCTGCCTTTCAGCTTCCCAGGAGAAAAACCCTAAGCAAAAAAAAAATCATGTTTAGAGAATGTGAATGCCACAAAGGATCAAGTTCCAACTACTTCCCACTATCCCAGGTTGCTTCAAGCCCCATCCAACCTAACCTTGGACACTTCCAGGGATGGATAAACCACAGTTTCTCTGGGCAACCTGTGCTAGGGCCTCCCTGAAATATCACAGTGGAGACACCACAGGTAGCACTGTCCCAAGTTGCTCTAAGCCCCATCCAACATGTCCTTGGACACTTCCAAGAATGGAGAAGCCACAGCATCTCTGGGAATCTGTACCAGGGCTTCCCTGAAATATCACAGTGGAGACCCCACATGTATCACCATCCTAATTGCTCCAAGCCCCATCCAACGCAACCTTGGACACTTCCAGGGGTGGATAAACCACAGCTTCTCTGGGCAATCTGTGCCAGGGCCTCCCCGAAATATCCCAGTAGAGACACCACAGGTAGCCAATCTCCCTTCCCTGCTGGCCACCAATACCTGGGCACACGGCAGAGTTGTTGCACTGTCTCTGCTCCCGGAGAGGGCCGCTGCACTGGGTGCTGTAGGAAGACGAAACGCAGAACCTGGTCCTGGTCTGCCAGCCCTCCCCGCAGGTGGTCGAGCACACGCTCCACGGGGACCACTCCTCTGCTGCAGGGTCACCTGGAGGGGTTGGAACACAAGGTGAGGATCTTTGGCATCCTTGCATCTCAGGGGAAGAGGTTTCCAAGTGACGCTTGGCTGGCTGTGGGATCTGTGAGGCTGCAATGTGTCCTGCAGGTGGGGTGAAAGATGGGTGGGAGGGTGTGAGGGCATTGAGGAGAAAATGTGAGATTGAGAATGGGCTAAAGGGGTTTTTTGGGAACTTTGTAGAGCTGTAGGACACACACATGAAAAAAAAAAATTAAGAAAAAGGATGCTATGGAAGCATCAGGTCATTGGGAAGGGCAAACTACACCACTGAAGGTGGTGGAGCCACTCCAGAACACTGTGAGCTGGGATAGGGAACTTCCATTTAGAGATTGTACCAACAGAGCCTAGACAGAGTATATGTATCCATAACTGTCCACTTCTAAGTGTTCAACCCCTTTTCCTGCCTTCACACAAACTGGCAGAGGAGGAGCTGACAAAGTAGAAGGTGATGGTGCCTAAGAAGGGTCAGCTGATGAAACCCCCTGAAGTTTTCTTGGCATCTCCTCTACCTGTGGAGATCTGCTGTGAGCATGTGACACAGAACAAGGATGACTCCTCCAGGGCATCACACAGTCCCTATCAACTGCTTATCTGATGGGGCAGCATTGGAAAAGCAACTAAAAATATCCCATTGATGGGGGTGAAAAGCACTGAGATGTATTCCCTTTGTCACTAATATTCCTGCTGCGGCTGTTTCAGCAGCCACAACCTCCAAATAAGTCACCCTAAGTGTGAAATGAGCAGGGAAAGGATGATTTTCCATTAGTTTTCACAGTCAATATTCTATCCCTTGAAGAAAAATGCTTTTCTTCCTCATATGGAAACAAAAACTGGCTCTGTTCTATTTAACCAAGCCATGCATTGTTTGGGTTTTTGTATTTTTCATGGATTGCTAATAATTACACATAATAAACCTGGAATGTAGCATTTGGTATGTATAGAACACAGTCATATGGCAAAAAATAAACACCAGCATAACAGAGGGGCAACCCCCTCTCGTGACAAATTCTTCAGAACCTCAGACTGCCCTGTGTCTCATCCCAAAAGGACGCATTTGGGAAACTGTGGGGGATATGAAGGATCACAGCACTGGTAAATATGACTCCAAGGGCCATCCAGGGAGCTTGGATGTGCTACCCCACACCACCACCCCGTTCCCTAAAAAAGCTGGGCAGAGGATGTTGCATTAAATTTTGTGTCTGCAACATGGAGAAGGAAAGAGACTCTGCAGTTGGAGATCTCAGTGAGGGTTATAAACCAGCTGCATCAAAATGTCAGAGCGGGAACTGTGGTGGGGACTGTAAAGCTTGGTGACCACCAAATTTCCCAATATTGCCTAAAACTGTTCACATCTGGGTTTTTCCTCAGGGTAGTATATTTAATTTAAAATTTATTTATATTTATGTTTATATTTATTTACTACTGTTTTCCACGTGCAATGAAATTTTAAGCATTTGTGGCTCTCATCAGTCTGCTCTTTGGGATTTTTTTGGTATTTATCTGTGTTGCTTGCTTTGTGTCATGCTTTTCAGCACATCTGCTTTGAATGTCTCCTGTCATTCCAGCAGCTGGGAATTAAAAATACACCCACTGATTGAAGCCTGTTGAATTAATATATGTTGAGGGGAAAAAGTGTAGAGGAAGACCTGTCTTTGCTGTAAAACTGACAGGATTTCACTCCTTCATTTGTTGTCTGGACACAGAAAGTGGTGGAGGTGAGGATCAATCTTTCCCTGCCTCATCTGTGTCATTGCAATGATTATCATGAGATGCAACTGCTGATGTTCATTAAGCCAAAGTTGCTCAAAACTGTTTCCTTTTTGTCTTTTATTTCATTATTCTGCCCAGTTGGTCCCAGTTAAATGAAAGTTATAGACCACTGGTCCTTCCCTGGGATGTGTAGGAGACATTGTGTGTTTCTAGGCTTTGAGGCTCCAGGAAAACATCAGTCCCATGTCCTGTTTCACAAGTATCAGATCTCCTGGTAGAGACAGATTTGCATTTCCATGGCAATTTTCCAGAGCCAGAGTCCTGCTATGCTCCAAGCTCACCTCCAGCAAATTACATTTGGGGTACCATCACTTCATAATTTTCCATCCAGAGTATCCCAGACTCCAGCAGATCCCTCTCAGGCACACAGATCCCAATCATTCCTTCTCCCTTGATGGCTTGGATGCTCCATGAACCCCTGGTGGCTTTGCATTTCCCCATCCACCCTGAGCAACCTCCCCAGTTCTGCATCCAGCAGCACCCAGTTCCTCAGGGGCTGGCAGCTGGGGTATTTTGGTTAAACACTCCACGTTTGGGCCCCAAAATCTTTCTGGGAGGCCAGAGGTAGGACAGGGGAAGCCTGCAAAGACACAGGAACCTCCTCCATCAGCAGCTCTTGGCATGGAGAACCCACCATGCCACAAACCTCCCTCTCAGACCTGGCTGAGGTTTTGCAATCTCCATATTCAGAAGAGTTCTTGTGTCACTGGAGGAATGAATGGCATCTCTGAACCAAATCCCACCTCTCCTGCCTCTTTCCTCTTCATTATTTCTGGCTTTTGCCCTTTCACAGCAGAAATAGCTGTGCTTAGAGGTAAATCTCCTCAATTATGGTCCCTCACATTGCATGAATCTCTGGCTTTTAAACCCATAATACAGTTTATTTTCTAAGTGCTGGTGACTCCCTTGGGCTTGGTGTCATTCTGAACCAAGCAATTCATCTCAGTCCACTGGGACATTACATCCAGCCTAGTCTCAAGCCTTGCACAAATTTAACTAATTTTCAAACCAAGCAAGACCCAGTTCTGAGACACTCTCAGGCATGAGACAAATTCATTCTCTACTTGAGAGAAACACAATAGTACCCATCATCAAAACTACGAGTGAGAAGAATTTCTGCACTCCTCTGGGTCAAATGGCAGCAAATGCAAATTACTGAGTGAAGCATATTGCAAGTATTCATCCCAGAAGTGGATTTTTACTCTGGTTTTTGATAGAATGGCAAGATGTCTGCCATGCTTATTGGGTTTGAAAGCTGCCTAGTCCAGCTCAGTGCTGTTTTGTAATTCAACCTGCCAGAGATTATAGAGGCATAGAATGGTTTGGGTTGCAAGGAACCTTAGAGGTAACTTATTTCGACCCCCTGTCATGGGCAAGGACACCACCCATTATCCCAGGTTTCTCCAAACCCCATCCAACCTGGCCTTGAACACTTCCAGGGATTGGGCTTCTTTGAACAACTTCTGCCAGGGTCTCACCATCCCCATAATGAAGATTTTTGTTCTAATATTGAATTTAAATCTACCCTCCTTCAGCTTAAATCCATTGCCCCTTGTCCTGTCACTCCATGCCCTTGTCCAAAGTTTCTCTCCAGTTCTCTTGGAGAATCTTTAGGCACTGGAAGGGGCTCTAAATTCTCCCCAGAGTCTTTGCTTCTCCATGCTGAACAGCCCAAACTTCTTCAGCCTGTGTTCATAGCAGAGTGGCTCCAGCCATATTTTCTTTATCCCCAGAGGAGAAGGGGTCAAGCCCTGCCCAACATCACCACCAGAGCCTGCAGGCAGCTATCTCAGCAGGGCTGACTTCTGATTAGTCCTGTGATGCCCCAGAGTAGCTTGGGGACTAACAGGATTGTCCCAAAGGATTTTTCAGGGCTCTCTACCCCACTTGAAGTGGAAAAATAGCCCTTGCTGCTCCTACATATCCAGGTGCAGCAGATGGAGAGGATCCAGCAGGTGCTGCAGAATGAGACAGGCTGGGTGTTAATCCACAGGGATTTGGCACTGCAATCCAGGATCATTCCAGCTCCTGGCTGCAGCATCCCCATCAGTGCCTGCAGCTGCTCCATGACTCCTCTTCCCTCAGCACTAATGGAGCAGCACATCCCTGCCATCCCTCTGCCAGGAGCCCTTCCAGTTTGGGGGTCTGTCAGTCTGACATCTCCCCATGTGCCTCTCTCTGCTCACATCCTGCTGCTGGCAGAGTCCTCCTGAGCCAGGAGAGCCCATGCCAGGGACCTGCTGGGCTGGATCTGGCTCCTGTGCTGTTGCTGGGGGAGGCATGTGGGCAGCCAGCAGCACCCTGGCTGAGAGCACAGCCCTGCCACAGCCTGGGGCCAACAGGACCTGGGAATCAGGAATGTGAAGGGCTGGCAGGGGAAAATGCTGCTCTCCAGCTGGCCAAGGCCATCCTCTCATCCTTATGAGATGGCATCAGCTGATTTCTGTATTTCATCTTTTTCCAGGTCTTGAGCAGTTGTGAAATGTCTCATTCCCTACAATCTGTGCCCAAAGGGAAGTTGTGGGCTTTGCTTCTGCATCCTCAGCTAAAAAAAATCCCTCTAATCCCTTTGTGGACTGTACCCTCTGTGTCCACACTTCCTCCATCCTGATTTCCTTCCAGCCTGGGACAGCCACAGGGATGTGGGAAGCTTGCAGCAGGACAATGCACATCTCCCAGCCCATGCTGCCCTCAGGGATGCCACAGCCCAAGCCAGCCATGCTACAGCGGTGGCCACAATGGCAGGGAGGTGACAGAGAGGTCACTGAGCCCAGCTCCAGCACCCAGCTGCACGGCAGGAAGAAAGGCCTAACTAAAAACCTGGTGGCTGAGTTACAGGCTGGAACAGGAGCTCTGGGGAAGCACCTGGGACCAGGCAGAGTCGGAGCAACAGGGGCCTGCCTTGAAGTGCCTTCCCTTCATTTGGACAGAGATTAAGCTCAGCTTTTCCACGTTGTAGCAGTGCAAGAGTCCTCCCTCTCCTGCAGGTTTTACCAGACTCCAGGGATCCATCCTGCAGGCAGTGGAGCTGCTCTCAGTGGAGGGAGCAGAGTCTGTGCAGGGTAGAGAGGGAATTGAGGCTGACCCCTGCTCTGTGTTTAAAACCACAACGCCAACAAGTCACCCCCAGGTACTCCACACCACACAGACTCCTGATGCTGCTCAGTGGCCAAGTCCTCCTGGGCTGGGTGGAGCACAGATAAACCACACCAGAATAGGACCCTCTTTTATTTCTAATCAAATCACCTCTCTGAAGCCTTTCTAGAGCACAAAATGCTGGCAAGGTCACTGGGCAGTGATTTTTAACCTGTGGCCAGGTTCAGCACACTGTGCTTTGCCTGAGACTCCTGATGTGTTCAGATCCTGCCACGATACACAGGCATGAAGGGAGAGCACAAAACCTTTGCAGGCTGAATCACAGAATCACAGGATGATTTGGGTTGGAAGGAACCTTAAAGATCATCTACTTCCAACACCCCTGATCTAGTGGGACAGCTTCCACTAGACCAGGTTACCCAAACCCCCTTCCAGTCTGGCCTTGAACACTTCCAGGGATGGGGCAGATCAGATCTGTCAGAGATCTAGGTTGAATTCATCCCCATCTTCCCAGATCATGCTGTCTGATATTACTACACATTATTCCCCTTCTGTGGCAGAAGGCTGGAAAGTCCTGCTGCAGAACCTACTGGAGACAAGTCCTTGCACAGCACTAAAGACCCAGGGACAGAGGAAACCAATCCTGCCCTGTCCCCACCAAGCCCTGCTCACCCTCTCTCACAGCCAATGGGAAGGCATGACATGGACATCAGCAAAGGGGCTGCATTGCACCAAGGTCAGCTTTGGCTTCATGAACCACGTGTGCTTGGAAAATTCAGACAAAGCAGTGACTCAGAAGTAGGCAGGGTGATGGCAAAACATTCTGTGGGATGGATGTTCTTGCCAGGGCTTTGTGTCTGTCCCTTTTTGCCTTCTCTGGCCAATGGTGACAACACAAAACCCTGTGGGGTGATGGAATGGGAACACAGGGGGCAATGACCACTGGTTCAGCATGTGACAACACAGGGGGAGCATCCCCCACACTGATCTGGGGAGAAGGAGATGGTTTGGGAAGGGAAGGAATCATTGAAACAGTGCAGAGAGCCCAGCCCAGCTGGGCAGTGCAGTGAACAGAGCAGTGTCCCAGCTCCAGAGGCCGCTGTGGGAGGTCAGATCTTACCTATTTGAGGTGCAGGGTACCCGTAGTGCTGCAGTTCGTCAGGGTCCTCTCGCTTTCTGTTATCTGTGGACCTCAGCGATTGGCTTCTGGAATTATAGCGTCCATTGGCTATGGCAAGGTAATGGGTCATGTAAATACACCTCGGTTCACTCTGCAAGATCTTTCACTACAAAGGTTACACGCGTTAACAACAGCCACCTGCCACGTTCCCCTGACGTGACCACCTGCTTTCCAACCCCAGCACCCCTGGCCACCACTCTTCCCTGATGTTTCAGCACCAAACCAGCCTGAAAGACTTGGGCTGGTTGGTGGTTCAAACCCTTTATTTTGACTAAGATTTGGGACCATGAAGATCATGATCCGTTACGTCTGGTCTTTAATCAATTTCAGTGGTTTTCTAGGGTGTCTGCACTCCTTGCTGCACTTGTGGAGGATACATACTCTTCAGACGTGCTGGCACTGAATCCCACCACCCCTAGTGGTGTTTTGAGATTTGTGGTGGCAACTGGCAGGGTGGATTTGGTGGAAAATTCTGCCTTACAACCAACACCTGCTTCAAAATGCCCTGTAGAGGAACCAGGAAACACTGAGTGGAGCAGGCAGGTGAGGGCAGGTGGAAAGGAAAGGGATATCTCAATAGAATGTCTCCTTCACAGACTTTACCCTGCCACCAGCAACAAGGAGAGATGAAAGTCTGGTCTCAGCTGAGTACCAACAGTGCTATAGCTGGGAACTTTTCCTTCTCAGTGAGAGACAAGCTCCTGACCCTCGTGTCCTACTGAAAAGCTCCCAGTGGAGCACACGGTGTGAGGTTCAGAAAGTAAATAAAGCATCCACAGTAAACCAAAGGCATTTAACTGTTCCTTCCAAGCCCATGCTCTGCCAGCTTTTCATTTTCATCCTGGGTGGATCAGCCCTGAACTGGCTGGAGGGAAAACTAAAATTTCTGTTGTCTGTACTACTGGACATGCTGTAACCCTGACATATTCCCTTCCTAGCAAAGAGAGAAACAACTCAGCAATAACAACCAAATTCCATCTACCAGGAGTGCCTTCTGTAAATTAGGAGAGCTCAGCTGACTCCACAGGAGTCACACAGAATAGCAGAGAGCAGAGCTGAGCCCGAGTAATCTGTGATCTGGCAGCCAATTTGTTTCCAAACAGTAAGTACCAGACAGAAGATCTTTTCCCCCAAGGAGGCAAAACAGTCAGACATCTTTTCAAGAAGTATGAACTGCCAAGGTTTGAAATGGTGACAAATTTGATCCCGGAACCCTGAGAAAATTAATAAAGGTTAATGAAGCTTCAGTGTGGTGGCAGGAGTCTTTATTGCCATCCAAAAAGGGAAAGCAGAGGAGGCAGAGGAATGATTCAGAGTCCCTGCCAGGAGCCAGGCTTTATATTCAGCAGTTTGGATCATGGGAGAGTTTGTGAAATTGTATTATTTACCATCACAGTTGCCTGAAAGCAGAACTTGAGGAGTCTAGGAATTGTCACATGGACTCCTCCAAATGTTCCCAGCACCAGCTGGCTGCTGGCTGGAGGGGATGAGATGGGATGGGGCAGTCACCCCCCTGCCATCCTCTAGGGAAAGATACCCACAGCCTGAAATTAGGACCACAAACACCATGAAATCTGCAAACACCTTGTTTTTGCCTGGTTCCTTCCTGGAATAGAGAGGTTTCAAAACCTTTGCTTTTAATAGCAAAAAATCATGGGACTTTCCTGTGGGAGATTCAGTTCAAAAAAGACAAACTCTAAGTAGTTTTCCAATCTCTTTTTTTTAAATTTGTTAGGAGACAACTTATTCCCATATTTGGGACTTCTCACATCCCCACCACCCATTCCTGGTTATGCCCACACACTTTCATCTGCTCCTATTTAAGTCCTCTCCATGAAATCTCACAAACCACAAGAACACACAAAATCTTCATCTGCATCACATCCCATGGGCTTCCCACAGACTTATTTAGGCTGGGAGGAGAAAGTGGGGCTGGGCACCAAGGAGTAGATGTGTGGAGCTTGGATGGCTTTGTCACCTTCCCAGAGCAAGGAAGGTGACAGGGAAAACCTGGGATTGAATATCCCAGAAGCAGTCAGTGTTCACAGATGGACAGACATAGGAAGCAGCACAGAGGGAAGGGAAGATAAAAGAGCAAAACAGAAGTTTTAATTGCAAGTCTAACACCCTGAACCTCATCTCAGCAATTATTTGGGACTGTGTCACTGATATCTCCTAATGACTTACCCCAGTCTTGAAGGACTGAATGATTTCCTTTGCTCCTTGACAGGTATGTCAAGTCTGCTGTTATTTCTTATGCTAATTAAAGCCAATCAGGCCTAGAGGCTAAATGAGCAACCCTTCCAGCTTCCCCCAAGTTTCCCCCTGCCAGGAACGCTCCACTGCTGCAGGAAGCCCTCCTCCCCTTTGGAAAAGCAGAGAAGCCAGTTTGTCTCCATTTAACACAGAGCACAGCTGAGATCTAACCTGGAGAGATGCACAAACCAATCCTGGTTCCAAACAGAGCAGGCAGACACCAGGTCCCTTCAGAACATGGGGAAGTTTTGGTGCAAATCCTGCTTTGCTGTGGGCACCTGAACTTTATGGGGTGGAGGTAAAAACCTTAAGGCAGTGGGGACCTGGTTGGATTTCAGCAGCCTTTTTCCCACAGCAGGGTCAGTGGAGAGGAGTAATTCCAGGATTAACAGAAGACCTAGACAAAATTTACATCCCAGCTGGATAAATGCAGTGAAAATGGCACAAAAAACCCAAGCACCTTTCCAATGCTAACAGGAGGAATAGAGGGATAATGCCCTTGGAACCAAACAGGGATGTTTCAACTGCAGGCAGAGGCAAGTAGATGAGATTTTGAAAAAAAAACACAGCTCAAGTGTGGATGTGGAGGATGATCAGTGCTGGCAGGAGTGGGAATAGGAAGCAGGTGACCAACACTTCTAATGAGAACATGCCATGTGTCAGACACCACCTTGCAACACAACCCAGGGGAAAATAAAATAAAATAAAGGCAGAGACTTTGAAGTGCTGTGGGCCAAGGTTTTAACATCCAAACATGTGTCACCACAGCTATACAACCTGTACTCATCCCCCAAACAGGAGAGGCAAAGCAGATAGCAGGATCATGAAAATTATTCAGGCAAGGTGGGATGGTGGGAATGAGGGGATGAACCAGAGCAAAAAGTGGAAGGGGGTTATTTAAAAAATACCCAAAACATTCAAGTGAATTTCGCTGCAGTAAAACTGAAAGGAAATGTGGTGGTTATGGAGTTTTTGGAGCATCTACCAGCTGCTAAAGAGTAAAACTGAAAAGTACAAAATTACTGACAACTCCTAAACCCCAAAGTCTCAGTGGATGGAGAAGAGGGACATTTTGGAGGCCACTGGATGTATTGCAATTACACCCAAATCATTTCAATTTGAAGATCTGAAATTTGTGAAAACTGGAGGAGATCTGTGACTCTCAGATATGAAATGCCTGAACCACCAGTAAAAAAGGGGACAGGGCAAAGTCTCTGCAGCAGCAGCAGAGAGGAGCTCCTCCAGCTTGCAGTGAGTTCTAGCCTGGCCTGCAGGGAATGAAGATGCTCCCACACATACCTAGGATATTTCTGCTCCGTAGTTGCAGCAAAAATAAAAAAATAAAAAAATAATGAGAATCAAGGGCAGCAGAGACTGAGGCTGAGCCTTGGGAATGTCATGTGGAACAAGCATTCCTTCACACCACTAACAGCTGAAGGGCTACATCCTGAACCTGCTGGAAGCTGAAAATCCAGCCTGGAACACCAGGACTGTGCCAGGGTCACCCTCCTGCACCTGACATCAGGATGTGGTCACCCCTTTCGCAGCCGTGGGGGGCTGTGGCTTCCCAATCTGCATATCCATAAATGTCAGGGATGGTTCTGTGCAGCCTCTGCCAAATGGGATGGCAGGACTTCAGCTGGCTTCTCTGCTGGTTCTCCTTCCCCAGGAATAAATGCAGGCTGCCCACATCTCTGATTGTTCTTACATCTCTCCAGCACTGCTGAATTCCGATGCTGTGGTCGGGGCTGTGCCGTTCCCCCTCTGGTTTGGATGTTGCCCATCCTTGTGAGGACACTCTGCCTGCCAGGTTGTGAGCAAACCCAGAACCCTGCAGCCAGAAAGAGCCACTGGAGCACATCCCTTTCCATCCACAGTGGGTGGAACTGGGAAGTTCCTCTGCAAGCTCCCACCACACATGGGTTGGCATTTTTTCCCCTCTCTCTATAAAACAGCAGCCAAATCCAACAGAAGGAGGAAATCTCCTCTGTCTGTGCTGGAGAGGGGGATATCACCAAGTCCTTTATCAAGGCAAAATCAGAATTACAACAAAAACTTTGTGTTTTCCTTCATCCACAACAAAAACTTTGTGTTTTCCTTCAGCCACAAATAAACCTTAGTGTTTTCCTTGAGCTGCCACAAATAAAGGCTCTGCCTAAGCCAAGCTGCTGTTACCAGACAGTTTCCTTCCCAGTCTGGGATGAGTCTTCAATACCGTTTTTCCTCAGCATTTCACAGCTTTTATTTTTGCCCATGGAAAACTTACCTGGCTCACTTCCTGTTTGGCTTGGGTGTGTATCCCTGGGGAAATTTAGCCAGAAGATCATCAAGCAAGAGACTCTAGCACATGAAACAGCAGAGATGGTGGCCCAAATGAGTGGGAAAACACAAAGACCACATAGAAATGGTACCTGTGGAGTCATTCAGCCACTCCTGTGCACTGATTTTAACCTGTGTGGCCTCCAGGCAACGTGTTCAGACTCAGCTCTGGGACCCAGGTGTCTGCACCCACATTTTGGTGACCAGGCTGGCACAAGTCACAGCTCTTGGAAAAACTGAGAAGTTTCTCCAACCATTCCCACTCCTTCATGCTGAGACCTGCTGAAAGCCCTCCTGGGGGCAGTTCTAGAAGAGGAAAATGGCAGGACCTGGGCAAGGTCCACATGGGGGAAGAGCTCTGTGACAAGATAGCTCTGGAATGTTTGCTGTGGCCTGGCAAAATAAAACAACCAATGAAACCCTCGAAGATGTTCCACAAAAGTTCTTCTCAGCAGCTCCAGGGAGCTGTCATCACTCTGAGAACCTGCCCCAGAGGCAGGAGATCCAATTAAACAGCTAAAACACTCTTGCTAATCACTCATCAGCTTCTGAGCCACTTTGGCAGAAGTGGGAAAGGAGAAGTGAAAGAAAAAAGATGGGTTTATCCTTGTTTTGAAGGTGGTGGGGATATCTGTGTTATTCTAACCCAACTTGCTTGGCCAGCAGTTTCTCAGTGGACAAGTTTCAATTTACCTCCACAGCAAAGAGGAAGATATCAGGACACTCATCCCTGTTTTGTTCTGCTGTTTTATCAGGATTAGAGATGGCCCTTTGTTCAAGGAAAATATGTTTTCCTGCCTTTTTTTTCCTACTAGAAAATTAAGATCTCAGCTATTCCACAGTACCTGGAGAGCTAGTCAGGTGTTATACAAGCTGCTTAAATCTTGAACAATTGAAGATAAAGTTATTCTCCTAGCCAGTTCCTTTTTTTTTTTTTAATTTTTCTTCATTTTATCCTTTTAATTAAAAAGAGAAATAATTAGAATCTATTTAACTGTAGCTTATAACGAAAACTTAAAATAATAACAGTTCCAGGGAAAGAATGAACTTTCTACTCATCCCTAACAAATCTATGAGCAAAAGTCAATATGAAAATAACAGTGACACATTTAAAACAGGATTTCTATTCTACTTTCAAATCCTCTTAGGTTTTGGTGCAGATCAAAGTAAAGAGAAGGAAAAGATACATGCAAGAAAATGAAAAACCCTTCTTGGGTCAAAAGTGCATCTCTTTGGGCAAAGGCAGCAGGGCACAGACTCACTGAGAGGCAAGTTCAGAGCCCAGTTAACAGTTTTGAACAGATTTATCTTGAAATAGGACACAGACCTCAAGATGTGCATGGAGAAATCTTCTGGAAAGATTTATTGCTCACATATCCCCTCAAACCCTTTCCAGCATGAAAACATCAAAATGGGGCTCAGCAGCTTGTCTGCAAGGAGGGTCTTGGGACAATTAATCAGAATTAATTTATTTCAATGGAATAAATGGGTTTCTGCTGCCCAACTCTGTGTGTGTAGTCTCCTTCCAAACAAGGACTTTCCACTTAGCATAAAATTTCTTCTTCCTAAGTAATCTGAGCTGAACTAATCTCATTGCAGTTTGGAGGAGGAATTGGCTGGGAATGCAATGGAAAAAGGACAGGAAGACAAGTGAAGTAATTTATTGAATCATAGCCCCTTCAGGTTGTTTTGCACTTAGGATTGGCCTTACTGATTGTTGTGTTCCGGAAAAAGTGAAGTAAATAATGAGTAAAAACTGATTAATTCTTCACTGCTGCACTCCATGCCATGGCAATCCAACACAGCCTCCATGGTTTTCCTTGCCACCACAACCTCAGGAAATCTAACATGAAGAAGAACTAAAGTTTTGCTTCTGGGGAAAATCAAGGGAAGATGTTACACCCCCTGCTCAGTGCTGATGAGGCTGGCCCTGGAAAACAGAATCTTCCCCCTCCACCACATCAAGAGGGCTGCAAAAGAATCAAACAGGTCCCATGGACAGCTTGGAAGATGGTTAGGGATGAGGAAGGATGTCCTGCAAAGAGAATCTGGGGAACTGGGTCCCTCTTAGTTTATACAGCATAGGAGGGACACATTAAGGAGGATTTTTGCCTCCTGTGGCATGTGTTCCCATGGTCAAAGAGTGACCAGCCCTGCAGATACCCCTCTCCCACTCCCAGTGCCATCTCTTCCTTCACACACCAAGACTCGTGTGGCCCTCCCTCCAACTCCTCTCAGGCACACCCCAATCCCACAACTGGACTTTCTTTCAGGACCAGCTTCCAGGTCATTGCATTCCTACTCTCCCTGCCACAAGCCACAGCTGAGTCATGACTGCAAAGTCACCACCAAGCATGGAGGACACGGATTAAATATCCCTGGTGTGGGCAAACCTCAGAGGGAATTTAGAAATTGTGAGTCAAGGAGATGGAATTCAATATACCAGGTTTCATTAAAAAAAAAGTCTAAGCCTAATTGCAACATATTTTAAATTTATGGAAATGTTAAAAAATGCATGAAATAATTTTAGCCCTTATTAGAGGAATATATTTATGTCCCTTTATTTGAACTTCCTCCTTATCAGGAGATACTTCCCAGCCTTTGAAGACCGTTGAACTTTCCTTAGTTATTTGACTAGTCAGAGGAGTTATTCAAACATTCTCTACTCTGAATTTGAAATAAAAAGAAGGGAATAATTATAACCAGCCATTTGCTTGCATTTATTGGTCTGAGCTGTATCTGCAGTTGCCTTTTCCTCTTCATCCCCCTCCCAACACAGCTTAAAGCAGTAGAAGAACTGGGGATGAAAGTGCTGGAGGTTCACCAGCTCAACCCGTCACTATCTGATGGTGTGGGCACTCTGTGGCCTGTTCCCTGGAGAAAAGGATCTGGAAAGTGGATGCATTACAGAGGGAGAGTGGAGCACACATGGAAGCTTTGCATCACTCAATCCCTGTCTAACAGCCAGATCTTTCTCATCTTATCACTAGAGGCTTCCATTTGTAAAAGAAAGGGGCAGGGTCACTGCTCTTGAACTAAACCAAGAAGAAGCAAGATTAACATCTCTCTCAGCTTTAATTATTTGGGAAAACTGAAAAAAATAAAATGCCTGTAAGGACGTGACACCAGGATAAGAAAACCTGATGTAAGCCTGCTTACAGATTCCTATAAATTCTTTGGGCTGAAGGCCTGGAAGGTGCAGGAAGACTGTGCCAGCACGTGTGCGTGTGCATGCGAGGCAGGCAGGGACAACGGGCAGGGCCATGCACAGCCAAATCCACACATTCCCCTGGGCTCCCTGCTCCAACACAGTCCTGGGGCAGCTTTCCCGAGCCTCAGCAGCACCCTCCATCCTCGATGGGGATGAAGCCATCCTCCTCCTCCTCCCGGGAGCCCCGCGTGCAAGGGAACATGCCTCCACTTACTATTGCAAGCCTTCCTATTGCACAGCCGTCCTTCCTCCAGCACTCCCTCGCAGGCCAGGCCCTCGTTGGGAAGGGGCTTGCAGGAGCGCATGCGGGTCTGCAGGCCGCCCCCGCAGTCCTTGGTGCAGTCGCCCCAAGCCGACCAGGAGTTCCAACCACCTGGGCAAGATCCAGAAAAGCCCCGTCAGCCTCCGTGAGAGCCCAGAGCCTGCTGTGTTCCAGCTGCCAAGACTCAAAACTGGGGTGTGAAAAGTGTGAAAATATGGCCCTATGCAGATATTTACTGTATGTATTTTGATGTGTGGATTAGTAGTGCTGTATTAACGTTTTAATAATATGGTAAATGTAGTCTTGTATTTAAAGGGTAACTTCTGTAGTTAAAATAAGAACTATGTGGTCACAGACATCCTTTCCTTAGGATTTTTTCTCCTGAGAAGCTGAGAGGCCTCAGGACCAATATGTAAACAATGGTTATCTGCTGCTGTGGAATGTTACTGGTGGATCTGTGATTGGTCTCATGTGGTTGTTTCTAATGGCCAATCACAGTCCAGCTGTCCGGACTGTCTTGGTCAGTCACAAGCCTTTGTTATTCATTCCTTTTCTATTCTTAGCTAGTCTTCTGATGAAATCCTTTCTTCCATTCTTTTAGCATAGTTTCAATATATTATATATCAGAAAATAATAAATCAAGCCTTCTGAAACATGAAGTCAACATTCTCATCTCTTCCCTCATCCTAAGACCCCTGTGAACGCTGTCACACTATGTAAGTGGGATATTTTTTTATGAAAGGAATGAGGCACTCACACCAGATAGCAGCCACAAGACACCTAAATCTTTCAGAGAAAAGGAATTTATTGTTGTCTTATCAGAAGAAACTGAATTTTTCCTGCCTAGCTAAAGATCAAAGGCGCCTTAGGATTAGGAGGAAGAAGTTGACACTGAGCAGAACGAATCTTTTGTTTGAATGGAATTTATGCAACATATAAGAGGTGTATGGATATGCAACAGGCTATTGTTCTAAAGGGTTAATCCTCTGTAACGTGTGTCCTTTTTCAGGCTCATGCTGCCAAGAAAAAGGTACCCAGACATCCGTAACTCTTTGGTTCTATTGTCTCCTATTGTCCTAATTCAAGTTGTCCAAATTATTTTTACTCTAATTGTACTACTATTTTTATAACCATTTTATTACTATTAAACTTTTAAAATTTAAAAAAAACAAGTGATTGGCATTTTTCACATGGAGCGTCTCTGAAAGTGGTGGGACTGGAAACTGCAGGGTAGCCCTGTGTCCTGGGTTGACTATTGTGAGAGTCTGTCTGAATTTTCCCTCATCTGCCTCACGATCGTCATTTGGGGACCACTGAAGAGAAGACCACCCCTATCTGGCCCTGTAGGAGAAAGTCACATGCCAAAGGCCCCAAGACCTGAGAGCACAGTGCTAAGTTATTTGTTTTCACAGGTGTTGTTTGCTGTATGCTACACTGAGCCCAAAGAAGGGGGCACTGTGCCCTTTTTGCAACAACAGCCTTAGCAGCTGTCCCACCTCTCGGCCTGGCTGGACTTCTCCTGAGTTCCAGGTGGTCCCCCCACAGAAGACCCTCACTTGTTTTACAACCACCGTGACAGACAGACTGAGATGCAAGAAGCCTCTCCATCAAGGACTGAGACATGACACCCCCATGTGAAAAGGCCCCTCTGCTCCTTCCAAGGACTGAGACATGAAACCCCCAACCCGGGGGAGGTGTGTGGGGGAGTCAAGCTGGCCAAACCAAGATGTTTGCCTGCAGATTGTGACCACTGGACCAAGAAAACAATGGCTCTGGTTTACTGTTGAGAACATGGACTACCTGTTACATCTATTACTTATTGTATCTGTTTCCCCCCACCCCCCCTCACAATTTTCAATAGAATTATCATAATAAAAACCTCTGAGTTAGCTAGAGATTTTGAGATCTGCCTGACGTAACAGGTGGATCCTCAACTGGACTAACTGGACTGGATCAAAGGACTTCATCTCTACATTGGGTAGCTATATCCCCCTCTCTCTCTCTCTCTCTCTCTCTTTCTCTCTCTCTCTCTCTCTTTCTCTTTTTCTCTATCTTTTTCTCTCTCTTAATCTCTCTATTGCATTTTGGTGTGGTCATTCAATAAAGGATGAAGGTGCATTTGTTTTGATTATCATTGCAAATGCCCTTGTACCATGTTGGTTCTTTGTGCACCCTGAGATCAAATCCACTAACCATCACAAACTCTGTTTGTAAGGATGGATTGTGACACTATATGATGCTTTTATCCCCAATAATCTTGTTCTGTTTATGCTGAATAATAAGTTTTCCACCTTTTAAGACTTGTTCCAAGAGTTAAGGGGGAGAGAAGCAGCAGCAGTTTGTTTTCAGAGACTGCACTTGCCCCTCCACATTCCTCCTCCTGGATCGTGCTGTCTGTGGCTGAACAGACAGCAGGACAGAGCTCTCCTTTGCTTTTAGTTAGTTTAGCTAGCTGAGGCAAAGAAGTTCCCTGCACTGTGGGGTTTTTTTTCCGTTTTCTTTGGAGCTGTTTAAACCTGCTCTGACTGAACACTCAGCAGTGCACCGGCAGCTCCACCTGTGGCCCACTAGGCCGAGCCTGGGCCGCGGCATTTCCAGCGCTGGAGGGGAGACTTTATGAGTTGGTCATCTCTTTTGGAGCAGCAAGGGGTTTTATTGTTTAATATTGTTTAGGTTTTATTGTTTAATAAACAGGGTTTTTTCCACTTTTCTCCAAGGAGGTTTTTTTTCCTGGACCAGCTGGAGGTAGGGGCCAATTGAAGCTGCTTTCCAAGAGGTGCCCCTTTGGGGGATTCTCTCCAAAATTTGCTCTGAACCAGGACACCCAGAAAGTCAAGGGGAAGGGGGAAGCATTGCCTGACTTCACACTGACTTCTCTTCAGTTATCCGTATTTCTAGAGTTTAAGAAGTGTTTGGTCAATGCCTTCAGGCACAGGGTGGGATTCTTGGGGCTGCCCTGTGCAGAGCCAGGAGTTGGACTTCAGTGATCCTTTGGGATCCCTTCCACCTCAGGATATTCTGATTCCAACCAATCCTGCCCTTCCTGTGCTTTCTGTGGCAAAGAGCTCCCCTCTGACAAGACCCTATGTCCATTTTTGTGTCCTGTTGGCTTCCAACCCCAGAAGACACGAGCAAAAACCACTTCAAGGTACAAATTCACCATCAGTGAGTTGTGCCTCCTCCTTCTGCCAGCACACAAACACACAATGTGAAGACAAGGAAAGTGAGAGGGGATAAGGTTCTACTACTCATATTCCCCAAAAAAAGGCATTTCCTTTCCCCACACTGCAGACCCCACCAGCCACAGAGAGGTACAGCTCTCAAGGACAGCATTGGTGGAGGAATAACATGGGAATGACATTCTCCTCCAGCACCCTTTGTAGAACACACAGGGAGCAAGATGAAGGTTCATTTTTGACTCCTCTCCCAGGCCATGCTCAGTACTGGTGTCAGCAACACTCAGCTTTCCCCACAACAATCTACAGCTCTGAAAACTGATGGATCCACCAAACCACCTGGCTGCAGGGATGATCCTGGTGCTTAAGCAAAATTCTGAGCCTCTGCAGCCTTCTCCACCCTGTGTCTTTCCAGCTTCCTGCCAAGAGCAACTGGCCCGGGTGGAATGTCCATAAATGCTGATGGCAGGATGGACTGTGAAAACCATCTGAATCTCTGAATCTGGCTGGCCTCCCACAGTCCAAACACCTTCAGGGAGCACAGCAAGGCTCAGTTTTGGGTTGTAAAAGTCAGCAGGGGGTTATCCAGTCCTTTCAGGTGATGGATAAGCTGTCACATCCCTCAGTGGTCAGTTTGCTCCCCATCGGCCGTATGCAGCAATCTAAAATCTGCTGAAATAAGCCCTGGCTTCACTGTTCTGCTCCATCGTTTGTCCACCTCATGGGGAGGAGCAGAGGTGGCCCTTCAGCCCAGAGGTGGCCACTTTCACATGGCTGCTTTTCCTGCTGTGAATTCTCTCATTACCACAGCTACCCTTGGAGATGTTTTAGGTCCAGGGAATTCAGCTCTGTGCTGTGCTCAGGCACAGATAAGGATAATGAGCTAAAGATGCAGGGTTTTTTGAAGACAGGAAACACTGGGAAAATTTTTGTTTTTAAAATAAAAATGAAATAACCCACACTCCTCCCCTTTTTTTCCCCCTTGCCAACAGCCAGAGAATTCAGAGATGCAGATGATGAACTTCAGCTGACTCAGCCTCCCTGAATTGCTATTTATGAGACTGTGGCTGTACTATGAGCTCTGGGCTCTGCTGGTTCCTACACAGGACACCAGCCTTGTCTGGAAAAAAGAGCCCAACTAGGTGTTAGATCAGAATTTAGGGATATTATCAGCACCCTCTTGCACAGGGATGGGCAAACACTTGTCCACCTCCACAGCAAAAACCCACAAGTTCATACTCTGCTACCTCCAGCCTGGTTGTGGTTCAACTTTTCCCTCCAAGACAAAGTGAAAATAAACACAGGCTCAGCAACATTTCCACTGCTGATGGCCATGGAAGCTGCTCAGATACTTAATCATGAGAATAACATCGAAAAATGGAGCAGGAAGGAAAGGGAGGGCAGTGAACTTGCCAGCAAAGTGCCCAGAGATCCTGGCAGCAGCGTGGAGGATGGAGTTGTTACTGGCACAAAACAAATTCTTGACCTTGAAGAAGACTGTCTTTCCCTCAAAGGTCACTTTCTGCGCTGGTCACTTTTCTAAACAGCACAGGAACACAGGCTTGTCTTCCATTTCCTTATGGAAGACAGATTGTGTTTCCTTTGTAAGGGAAACCATCAGTGTAATGGGAGGTATCCTGATGACAGCCTGGGGCTGATCAATAGGATATCTGTAATCAGACACCTTTAAGAGTTAATCAGCTCCTGGCTTGCCCTTTTCAGGATGTGTGTCTTCCATCTTACTCTCTTACAGATTAGGAGTGAGGCTAGGGAAGGGAGAAAGCAGCTTCACACAAGCCTTGGCTTGAATTGTGATCTATTTGGGATGCTTATTGTTGAGACAAAATGCATAATTGCTCCAGTGTCTTTAGAAGTTATTTTATATTGTGTTTGTAAGAAAAATATGGGCCCAAATTCACTGGCTGTCGTGGTGTT